CAAGCATGAAGGATCCAAAGAGTTCAGGCGCTGCCACAGCATTGAACTCATATACATACATGTTTTTATTTAAATCATTGCTCATAAGAACATATATGTATATGAGCTCAATTTTGCCAAGAAATCCTAGTTACATGGACTTAGTAAATTGGTATTGGATCACAAAATTGGTTTTGTGTTGGGTCTTTATGGATACTCTAATAATAATTGCGTCGTACACGAAAACTATTAAGGTGCGTTGGAATTCGAACCAAACCAAGTTAGGTAGAATTTATCACATGATTTTGATACGCTCTTACAATTTCTGATAAGTCCCCTTGGTATCAACTTTGTTTTTAGAAAGTTGAGTTTGTTTCTATTACAAAAAGGAATTGAGTCTGTTTCTTCTCCGAATACTTACAATGCAAAAGAATAATAAAAATATAAAATGATCAAGGGGAAAGGAAAACCGATTAGATAAAATCCACTTTCAACGTGATAACGTGTAGCTGAACGTAATATATTTCTTTTAAGAGTCAAATGGTTGTGTTACACTTACACTACAAGAAAGAGGGGCTTTTCCGTCGAATTATTTACGACGATTCGTAGTCGATATTACGTACGACGATTAAAAATTTCGTCGTAAATTCGACGTAAAAAATAACCCTCGTAAAATCGTCGTAATGTTACGACGATATTACGACAAGATTACGACGAATTTTATTTCGTCGTAATCTTGTCGTAATATTTACATCGATAATACGACGAATTGTCCTCTATCTTGTAATTGACGTAAAATCAATGTAAATGTGATGTAAATTTTATTTCGACGTAAATTTGATGTAAAAATGCAATGGTAATATGTTGGTAACCAAACAAAAAATTCTATATATACCCCTTCTTCTCTCATTATTCCATCAACCCAAAAAAACATATAAAGACACAAATTTTTTGAGTCTTTGAATGTTTAAGTAAAATTTTTAGTAGTTGAAATTTCTATCAAATTTCAGAAACAAAAAGTCAAATATTTGTTTTTGAAATGTCTATATACGATCTACGAAAGTGGATGTATACGCCCAAAAATGGTGATGGGTCGTTGACTGAAGACTTCAAAAACGGATTGGAAATATTCATGTACCAAGCCGGCCTTCTGGAAACTGTAATTGAAAGCGGCAAAATGTATTGTCCTTGTGTGAAATGCAAAAATAGGAAACATATTCTTATTGACACTGTCTGGCAGCATTTATTGAATAGAGGGTTCATGCCCCAATACTTTATTTGGTATCAGCATGGAGAGGGATATGGTCAAAGTAGTGGTCAGATGGCTGCACGGAGTACTAGTAATCATCAAGAACATGTGGATTTTGTAGCGTCCAATGATTATCAAAGTAGTCAAGTTCAGGGTGAAGATCATGATAGGATGCATGAAATGATTACTGATGCATTTCATGAAACACATGCTGATACTGTTGAGGAGCCCAATGCAGATGCGAAACGCTTTTATGATATGTTAAACGCAGCAAAGCAGCCTCTGTACGAGGGATGTAGGGAAGGTTTATCAAAATTATCATTGGCAGCTCGGATGATGACAATAAAAACAGATCACAATCTATCTGAAGTTTGCATGAACGATTGGGCAGATCTTATTAAAGAGTATTTGCCAGATGATAATTTGGCTGCTGAAACGTATTATGAAATTCAGAAGCTGGTTTTTAGTCTTGGATTGCCTTCTGAGATGATTGATGTTGACTTGAACATATGTTGACTTTTACGACGAATTTACGACGATTATTAAGAAATCGTCGTAACTTCGTCGTAACATGCAAACCCTAAACCCTATAGGGTTTAGCTTTCCCAACTTACAAAATGGTTTTTGGGTTCATTTTCCTAAGTAAACTGATGTATTATATAAGGGTCTGTAGTGTAAGGTTCAAGAACTTGTAGAAATGTGGTTTTTATTACGACGAATTTACGACGAATGGGAGTAATCGTCGTAAATTCGTCGTAATATACCATCGAGATTACGACGAAATGTAACCCCTAAATCTTAAAATCAATCTTTTATGGGGTTCTGGGGGGATTTTGATGAAGAGAATGAAATGGCTTACCATCTCATAAGGTAAAACAACTTTCTAAACAAAAAAAAAAAAAAATTCTAAAATTGACATATATGTGTTTATCAAGTAATCTTAAGGTGTTATATACATTTACACAAGATGTATGGATTTATCTTACATCTTACTAAAATCTTCATTAAGTTATGTAAACATGTTAGAAAGTTATACACACCACATTTATCATGAATAGACATGCTTGTATGTCCTTATGGATGTTTCAATTTTTGAATTTCATCAGTTTTGTATAGTTTGTCGTTAATTCGTCGTAATATTACGACGAATTTACGACGATATGTGTATACACAGCCGTTTTAATTTTAATGATTTATACGATTCGTCGTAAATTCGTCGTAATGTTACGACGAATTTACGACGAATAACACGGATCGTCGTAAATTCGTCGCAAAGTCCAGATACACCCACGTGTGTTTGTCTTATTCGCTTTGTGTACGGTGGGAACTTTGCGACGAATTTACGACGGATTCGTCGTAAATTCGACGTAATATTTACGTCGAATTTACGACGAATATAAATTCTATATATAGGACCTCACCCCTTCCTCATTTCGTCGCTCATCTCTCCTTCCTCTCTTGCTGTCTCTGCTTCCTCCTTCCCACCTCCTCCTTTCGACGCAAAAAAAAAGGTAAATAATTTTTTTTAATTATTTCAAATTATAATAATTTTAAATAGTTTAGAAATTCAAACGGTTTAGGTCGGGAATTAGTTTAGGCTCGGAATTTGTTAGATTTAGGATCAGAATTTGTTAGATTAAGGATCGGAATTTGTTAGATTTAGGATCGACATTGTAGAGATTGTCGCTGACGGAAAACGTCGGTCCAGCAGCGACGGGCGGCCAAGACGGAGAGCTTCCTCGTGACGTCGATCTCAACCTCGACGATTACGACTTTGTATAGATTAGGTTTTTTTTTAAAAAACAATTTGTAGTAATTTTTTTTATTTATAAATTATTTTTGAATTTAAATTTCAAATTTTTTCTATTTTTAATTTTTTTATTATTTTAAAAATTCATTAATTAAATTAAAATCAAATTAAATAATTAATTTATTAAAATCGAATTAAATCGAATTTATCGACGTAAATTCGTCGTAAATTTACGTCGATCTAACGTCGAAAAATTTAACGACGAATTTACGACGACTATCTTTACGTCGGATTTACGTCGAAAATTTACGACGATTTAACATCGATAATTAAAAATTTATTTTTCCCTTAATTGAAATTCTTCGTCTCCTAATCGTTGTTAAATCGATGTAATTTTACATCGATTTTACGTCGTTCTTATGATGAAGTTATTTCGTTGTACATCCGTTGGAAATTTTACGTCGCATTTACGACGAATTGTTTCCGACGATTTTACGACGATTTTCCGGAGTTGGTAATTTTACGACGATTTTACGACGATTTGGGTTTTACGACGATCGTTTTACGACGAATTGTAATTCGTCGTTAATTCGACGTAAATGTTCTTTTACGTCGAATTTACGTCGATATCTGCCGACATAAAAGCCAATCTTTCTTGTAGTGTTAGATATCACCGCCCACAATTAGGTTCTTGTGTCATCTCTATCCTATAATTCGACGATCATTTTTAAGAGAATCACTGGTTTGTTACTGGAGAAGTGGAGATTAAGTGAATATCGAATAGCACAATTTTAATTAAGTTCGTCTATCTTATATAGTTTAACAGAATTGGATCACCAGTTGAAGCTGAGTTCAAGCTATGATTATGGCAGTGTAAATGCTTGGATCTAACATGTCATGTTTGAAAGCGGTTGCTAGGTGCTTGTGGATTTCGTTGTATTCAATCAATTTCGAACAATTAGATCAGAAAAATCGCTCTTGAGGAAATCAAATCGAAGGAAGAATTGTCTACTGAATTTCGAAGGAATCGAATCGTGTTGCAGATTAATTGACCAAAGAACATATTCAAGAAGATTCAAGCTTTGGAACACAATGTATTTCAATAAAAAAATATATACTACAATGTATTTCTTACCATTAATAAAATACGTATATGGTAAAAAAGTGTAATATTTACTACCACTTTGGATATAACAGGGTCAGATCCTTTAACTTTTCGACTGGAAATAATGCATAAATAAAAAAAATACTATTAAATAAAATTTTATAAAAATAAATGTATGTAGATTGATCAAAATAAGACATCCAAATTTTCTGGAGTATTTTCTTAAATTACGATATTTAAAGTGTAGTATTTTATTAGAGTATAACCTAACATTAAAACCGAAAACTGAAAATTGTGAGCTGTGTTACCATAATAATGTTAACAGAAATTACGTTACCTATCCAAAAGCTTTTTTTTATTTGTCGACAAAATTATCCAAAAACTTTTAATAGAAAAAACACACTAAAGATACAATAAAAATAAATAAATCACGTGTGTATACAAAGATTTGTTACCAAATTCAAAGTATTCAAACGGAAAGTACCCATCTGTTTAGGCAGAAGATTCGATCATCACACGTCCTCCAATATCTTGTTTTGCGATCTCACCCACAAATAACAAATTATTTTCCTATAAAAACCTCTTCCTCTTTCTATCTCTTCTTTTCCAGCCCATTTATCTTCTCTTTCTCTCTATTTTTTTGGTTGAGTTTTGGGATCATACACCACAACAAACAACAACAACAACCATATATATAACTTTGTCTTATTAGTCCCTTTTTATTTGTAACAATTAATTAGTAAAGCAAAGCTTGAATCTGAATAATTAATAATGGGAGACTTTGAAGGGAGAAGAACGCCGTTAATGAATCTTGGGGTTCAAGTGTCGGTGAGAGTGTTAGTCATTGGCACTGCATTGGCCTCGATGTTGCTCATGATCACTAACCGTGAAGTCGCCTCTGTTTATGGCATTTCTTTTGAGGCTAGATATAGCGACTCCTCTTCCTTTAGGTATTGTCTCTTCTATTTTTTTTTTTTTTTTATTAAGGTGCAAATACTGATCTAATTAATTAGTGAAATTAATTATGATGGAATAATGAAGCATCAAATATCGATGAAATCTCACCATTCACGTTAAAATTGTGTATCCTTAAATGTTTTGGTAGGTATTTGGTGTACGCACAGATAGCTATTTGTGCCGCGATATTTTTATCGCTTGCATGGGCTTGTTTAGCTGTGCGTAGAGGAGGACTTGTTTTTGCACTCTTCTTCTTTGATTTGGTAATTATTCTCCATATTTACAATCTCAATATTTGATATCTATATTATACATGAAAGGCTTTTTCAATTTGATGTAGCTTCTTGAGAGATTATATATCTATAAATGAACATTTTGAGATGGGTTTGATATATTTTACATGCAGCTTGCGACGATGACGGAAATATCGGCTTTCTCTGCGGCCATGTCGGAGGGTTACATCGGAAAGTACGGTAACACACACGCCGGTTGGCTTCCGATCTGCCGTTACGTACATGGTTACTGCAGTCGTGTCACTCTCTCACTCGCTATGTCCTTCGCCTCTTTTCTCCTCTTGTTCATCCTTACTGTCTTAACTGCCTCCGCTGCTCGTCACGTCTGATTTTTATTGTTTTTACATTACCATACAGTATTATACTTATACAATTGCTTATATTTTCAGATTTTACGATCTATACTTAGATGATATAAAACGATACACTGATTTCATATTATAGAAGAAAATTGTATGGTTCAATGTATTTATTCTTGAGACTCCTGTTCTTGGTTATTTTTAGTCTCGTGTTCATTACTTTTGTTTTTATTCTAGAATATAACAAACTTTGAACCAAGAAAAGAAGAAGTAACAAACTACTTGAAAAGACAAACTAAAAAAAGAAGGGATAATGATATATCATCTTGGTAGGATGAGCATTTCGCGGGAAGGTGGACCGTATACGTGAATTTCTACACTAATCTACCAATAAAAAGAATGTGATAAGAATATTGCATGTGTTTTTAAACGTAGGAAATATATATATCAAAAGTACGAAGATCAAGATCGAGAAAGCCAAACATATTCCTTCAAAATTTATTTCAATGTAATTAAAAAATTTAAAAGAATAAAGCACACTGAAGTGAAATATGTCCGTATTATGACAATGTTGCATTTCTCTTCCAAAAAACTGTGTCTCACGATATTCAAATACTTTTTTTCATAAAATTAGAATAAGACTAGGGAAACTTTAGCCACGGCTATAATTTAAACAGTGTGCGGCCGAGTATATGGAGAGATGTTGGACTAAACACAAAAAGAATCCACGATGGGCCCGTTGAAGTAACTTGCGTTTTGATTTGGGCCTGTCCTAATTTCAAAACTGTGGGACCCATAGCAACATGTGCCGAAGATAGGCCTGAATCCCCAGGAACAAACCTCGGCCACAAAACGGAAGAATCGTGCTTGCATCTCACAAAAACGACACCGTATCTCTCCAACAAAAAGATTCATCTTCATAAGAGATTACACCTTATCCAATTTGTGGTTGCATTAGGAGAAGCCATTTTTTCTTTGTGACTCGGAACTTTCATCTCTTTCAATGGCTTCCCTATCTACCACTTCCCTAAGCTTCAAAGCTCCGTCCATACAATCAACCAGAATTTCTCAGGTGAATTTGCAAATTCTTCCCTTACAACTTAATAGCATATATACTTTGTTCGTCATTTTCCGGAATCCCAATTGTCTTTGGCTTTTGTATTTCTTTGCGCAACCATTTGGAAATCTCAAATAGTTCAAACATGTCAGTTAATTATATAGTTCATTAAGCACATCTTTGAGAATTCGATTTAAAGTTTTTTATTGTTCATCATGTAAAGTTATTAATTAGCCTCGAATTAAATGAAAATTATCAGGTGTTGAGGAAAGCCTCGAGTTTTCAATCTATCTCCTTTGGTCGTTTCCATTCGTCAAAGAGCCTTCGTCTTCAAATCAGTTGTGCAGTAAGTAAAAAAGATTAAACTTTGAAGCTAAAACTAGTTAAATTTATATGAGAAATGCAGTAAGTTGATAGTAACATGTGAGAATAACAGGCAAAACCAGAGACAGTGCAGAAAGTGAGTGACATTGTAAAGGAACAATTGGCTTTGTCCGCCGACACTGCGCTCACTGCCGAGTCCAAGTTCTCTGCTCTTGGCGCCGATTCTCTCGACACCGTATGTTATTACTCTCTCTCCTTTTGTTATAATACTGTAGTTTTCAATGCAAAAATGAGATTTTGTTGTTTCTTAAGCGTCGTTACAATGTTTTTGGGGTGGATGTGGGATGCAGGTGGAGATAGTGATGGCTTTGGAGGAAAAGTTCAACATAAGTGTGGAGGAATCTGATGCTCAGAACATTACGACGATTCAAGAGGCGGCTGATTTGATCGAGGATCTTGTTCAAAAGAAACCGGCAACTTCCGAAGCTTCCTAAACTCTCCCGGTTTAACACCAACCGGTACATCAAACCGGACGGCTGTCTCTTTTCTCTTTTTTCTTTCTGACCTTTCTTGGTTTCAGAGCATTTTATTTTGGTATATTAGACTGTTTGTTATTATTATTTTTTTCCATCTTCTGGAAGCTAAGATTGAATGTTGACAATGAGACTACATTGTGGTACGTTGAGATTGATTCTTTGCGGTGATTGGTCGTCTTTTATGACGAATATATAAAAACATAAAATGTGTTTTGTGTCACTACCACCTGAATTGTGCTTTTCTATTCCCACTTATTACATCGCTTTGTTTAGTCGTCGCTAACTTCTCCTCAAAGATTGAAATTTCCGGTAACGACTTAGCAGTATAGTGTAGAGCCCTAGAGGTTTAATGCCGCTTTGCACAGTGTTTTCGTTCTGGTAACTTCTAAAATGTATGAAAAATATAAAAAAATTGGATTACAAATTATGTGAATATTATACAAAATAGTTTTGTTGAGAGGGAAAAAGAAAAACAATAAACAAATGGGTCCCACGTTCTCTCAACATCCCCTCCCGCCACGATTCGGTCTGCGTTTACAGATTCTCCGATATTCATCTTTTCTTCCCTCAAAAATCAAACGAAAAGTCTTCTCCACCTTGTTGACTCCGTCTGCTAAATTTTACAATTTCACCTCTCTCACCCCAAAATCTCTCTCTTTATCTTCATGTTTGTATAGAGTAGATTTGGTTTTGTAATTGCTGTATATATAATTATATATACACGCGTCTGTATAAGCAGCAAATATGGCGCCGAGGCGGTGGGAGACGGCGGATAGTGGCGGAATAGGAAACTCGGCTACTTCTTCACCGGCTATGTCTCCGTCGCATCGGATGAAGAACGGAGGAGGAATCTCCGGCAGAAGCACGCTCCGGAAGCAAAACGCCGCCGAGCTGCTCGCTAAAGTCATGGAGAAGCGTGACTACGACTATGATTACGAAGATGAAGACGGAGACGAAGATCTGTACCAGGTACATCTTCCGCCTCTCTCCACCATTCGAAGACGAGATGATAAGCGTTTCGGTAAGGGTTCGGTCAACGGGAAGGAGGCTCCGGCGCCGGCGAAACCGGTCGTAGCTCCGCCTAAATTTGACGATGAATCCTCCGACGGTGATGAAATTACGCCCGATTTGTCACGGAATCCGGTGAGGGTTCCTCAAAGGAATGTTAGGGGTTCGAAAGAAGCTCCGGCGGCGAAACCCGTCTTGCTTCCGCCTAAATTTGACGATGAACTCGACGGAGACGAAACTACAGCCGATTTGCCACGGAATCCAGTGGAGATTCATCAAAAGAGTGGTAGGAGTACACTCAGGGTAAGAGTTCCGGCAGATTCTCGTCGGAGTCCGATTGAGGATTGTGAGCATAATGGAGAAGGGAAACTCAATGGAAGCAATGTTCAATTTGATGCGCCTGCAAAACAATCGGATGCTCAATTAAAGTATAAGAAAAGGTAAAATTGGAGTTTATTTATTATACATACACAAGTGACAAAGTCTCAGCTTCTTTTGGTTTATGTTGTATTTGACGAAATTTGCTGTGAACGAACGATTTAGTTTCAGGTTTCGCCCATCGGAAATTGCAGCACCGATTACCTCTAATCACCTGGAAGATGATCGAGAAGCTTCGGCCCTGCGTGATGAAGTACGTCTTTCCCAAAATACTTGAAAACGTTTTGGTTAAAATAGTTACTGATCTCGCATTTGAAAACCAACACTTTGTCATTGCAGTTAGATATGCTTCAAGAAGAAAACGATAATATACTGGAAAAAGTCAGTGTGACCTCTTTCTCTATCTCTAATACAGTTCATTTTTTGTACTTGCTACCTTTTTTTTTTGTATTCTTGATGTTTATATTCTTGAGTTATATATGCAGCTTCGGCTCGCTGAAGAAAGACGCGAAGCAGCAGAAGCAAGGGCTAGAGAGCTCGAGAAACAGGTGTTTATGATACTCAGTGGTTGATTTCTATAGGCGTGTACGTTTTAGATATAGTCTTGATGGTTATTCTCAAGCTTCATGTGGCTTGCAACAGGTTGCTTCTCTAGGTGAAGGAGCAAATTTTGACGTCAAGCTCTTGAAGAGGTTTGGTTTTCTTTGTCTTTATTATAGCCTTCATTCACAAGATTTGTTTTTCACCACGTTCGTGCTGATCCCTTCAGGAAAGAAGCAGCATTGCGTCAAAGAGAGGTCCGTAATGCATTCATATTTTAGTGGATGTTTCTTCATTTGTGCAAAATGCATGTCCCTTTTTTTTCTTCTTGTAGCTTGTGTTGTTGTTTGCTTTGACATTGAAATTTATTGAAAAGGGAGGATTTTGATCTATTGCAGGCGGTATTGAGGGCTGCTGAACAAAAAAGAGATGGAAGCCACAGGGAAACTGATGCCTTTCGTTCAGAATTTCAGGTACAGTGTTCTGGTAAACCACTGGTAGTCTACTCAAATCGGTTGTAAATTTTTAAGTGGCTCTATTATATAAACCTTTAAACTTGACAAGGAAACGATAATCTTTTCTTTATTGTGTTATGATCAGAGCTTGAAAGATGAAGCAGAGAAGGCCGTGGAACAGCTCCAGGAGGCTGAAGCTGAAACAAAGTCTCTTCGGACAATGATACATAGAACGATTTTGACTCAAGAGGAAATGGTTTGTTCAGACACTAAACTAGAATTTTATGCATTGACCGTTTAACTATATGATTGACATCTTGTAGGAGGAAGTTGTTCTAAAGAGATGCTGGCTTGCTCGCTACTGGGAACTAGCTGTTCAACATGGTAAGAAAATTTCTCTCTCCTGAAATACAATCGTTCCATTCTCTGTTGGGTAGTGACCTGCAATGATTTATAAGATGAATAAGTAATAACCTGTTCTTCCCATTTTGGTGCCAAGAGTTCAGAGGGATCCTGATATGATTTAAAACAAGTCTAGAGCCTATTTTTTCCCATTTGCTCAATGTACTTGTTCACTAAATTGTATACGGACATGGACTAGCTGATCAACAATATTACTTGCAACTCTCATTTGAAAATCTTTACTTTTGCAACTCATTGGGTCACTCTTAGGAATATGTGAAGACATAGCCACATCAAGACATGAACATTGGTCAGCTTTAGCTCCTCTTCCCCTTGAAGTTGTCCTTTCTGCTGCCCAAAAGCCTGAAGACTCCTGGCAGACAGGTTTGGTTATCGAATTTCCCGCCAATTTTCTCACAAAAAAAAAAAAAACCTGATAACATCATATCTGGCAGGTGGTAGCGATCGCACTTGGAGCAAAGTAGTCAGTAAATTCAGTGATGCAAATGGAGACGGAAACATAGAGAGTATGCTTGCTGTTGAAACGGGTTTGCGGGAGATAGCATCCTTGAAGGTAAAACATGCTCATATTCTAATCTATTCAAATAAATATCTCATACAAATGATTTCCTGTGCCTCATAGGTCGAGGATGCTTTAATGCTTACACTTGCCCGGTATAGACAAAAAAATCTAGTCCGACAATCTGACACTGGTAAATTCTATCTAAAGATGATTGGCACATATGTATGTGAATGTCATACAACAGATACTCATGTGGTTTTAATATCCAGATCCCAGGGCGCAAGGGGAACCTAAGTTTGCCGAAGCATTTGGTGAGTCCCCTTCTTTAAGCTGTTTTCCTGACTATCTACACAGAGTAGTCATATAAGTAAATAAGCCACATAACAAAACTTGTTCTTGGTGGTGAAACAAAAAAGTGCTTAGTGATGAAAATTTCCTCTGAATGTTTAATGCAGAGTTGAGTGAAGATGAACGACAGGATATTCTCTTTAAAGAGGTAGATATTAATTAACTCTCTGAAGCCTTTTACTTGGCAGGATTATATTCACTGACCCAAAACACACATATAAATGTTATAGGCATGGCTGCTGTATTTCTGGAAAAGAGCTAAAATACACGGCGTGGAAAGTGATATCGCGGAAGACCGTCTTAAGTTCTGGATCAGCCGTATCGGAGAACAGCCATCATCACATGATGCAGTTGATGGTAAGGCCTCTTAGCTAGTGCATATACTGTTATTAATTTCATTGACCAAACTAAAAATTAATGGTTCTTTATCAGTGGAAAGAGGAATGAGGGAGCTAAGGAAACTTGGGATAGAACAACAATTGTGGGAAACATCTCGCACAGAACTCATGGACTCCACTTTTATTCCTTCTCTTTCCGTTTCTGACTACTGTGACGAGTGACGACTGATAACAATAGAAACTCTTCCATCATTAACACGTCTCTCATCACTGTTCCAAAGTGTATATGCGTTGCTTTCAGACTTGTTAGTCGTTGATCCTATTGTTTGGGATATTGTGGGCTTCATGTTGTTGTTACTTGTATAACACTCTTCATCATCTTACCTTACCCAAAATCTATTTAAATTAAAAATGTTCATTTGGTCTGATTCGGTTAAGGAAAAACCAAAAAAAAATATGGCCAATGATAAGCAAACGAGTCTGTGAGTCACCCGCATTAATGGTGGGCCCAATGGAAATCGAAAGGTAGATCGTCTTCCTATCCTATCCAGAGGATAACGATAACACTCTCTTTACTGCAAGGGCGCCAAACAGAGTAGCCACACTTCTTCTTGCTTCGAGAATGCCGATTGCTCCTTCCTTGTTGTCATCATCTTCCTCAGTCTCTCAGTTTCTCCCCAGATTCCCTAACGCTAATAGGTTCAATGTAGCTTCACGGAGCAGAGCCGCTACCGTCGTCGCGGCCTCCGTCACCGACCTAGCCAGCATAGACAGTACAACTATCGCCGTAGTCGGAGGCGGATCCGTAGCAGCTCTCGCGGCGATGGTTTCGTTGACGGATCCGGAGAGGAGGAGGAAGTTGCAGGCGGAGGAAGTTGGAGGAGGAGATAAGGAGGTCGTGAGGGAGTATTTCAACAGCACGGGTTTCGAGCGGTGGAGGAAGATCTACGGCGAGACTGACGAAGTGAATCGCGTGCAGAAGGATATTCGAATCGGACACGCCAAAACCGTGGAGAACGCGATGCTTATGCTGACGGAGGAAGGATCCTTGGCCGGCGTCACGGTCTGCGACGCCGGATGCGGAACCGGATCTCTCTCCATTCCACTTGCTAAGGAAGGTGCGATCGTCTCTGCTAGCGATATCTCTGCAGCTATGGTTGCCGAAGCTCAGATGAAGGTAAGCTTTCGTCTCTGTGATTGCTGGGTTTGGCTGCTAAGTTCCTCTGCTTGATGCTGGATTCTTCTCTTGGCAAGCTAGACAGACATTTTCATATCAAGATGATCTGAAATAGAATTCCTGAGTAACTACATTCTCGAATCTGAAACCTTGTGCTTGTTATAACCCAATTTGTGACAAATTTTTGTATATGCACAGGCAAAGCAGCAACTACCATCAGAGAATTTACCAAGATTTGAAGTGAATGATTTAGAGAGTCTAAGTGGGAAGTACAATACAGTCGTATGCCTGGACGTGCTGATACATTACCCTCAGAACAAAGCAGACGGAATGATCGCACACCTTGCTTCATTAGCAGAGAAGAGAGTGATTCTGAGTTTTGCTCCAAAGACATTCTACTATGATATCTTGAAGAGAATCGGAGAGCTTTTCCCAGGGCCTTCAAAGGCTACAAGGGCTTATCTACATGCGGAGGCAGATGTTGAAAGAGCATTGCGTAAGGTTGGCTGGAAAATCAGCAAGAGAGGACTCATTACCACCCAGTTCTACTTTTCTAGGCTCATCGAAGCTGTTCCGATGTAGGTCAGTTTTTTGAAAGACGACTGTTATTTGATCTGTTGATTAATCTTTGGGAATGAAATAGGAACTATGCCGCCAGTGTAAAACTCACTGAAGAGACTTTCCCAACTCTTCCTGCTCTCTGAGCCCTGAGGGTGGTGTCTACAAAGAAGCACCTTCTTCAGGCCCCGGTTCATAGTTCTTCACTGTTTAATATGTAATCAATGTAATATGTAACTTTACCGTATGCTAAAAACTCTTGCACAAGATTTGCTACAATCATATTGAAGGTCTTAAAACCATAGTTGGGTTGTCTCATTAAAGAAAGGGAAGAAAAAACATATACACCCTAACGAAGATAACGAGATAAAAGAGTTACTAACTGTATAAGAAGATACACAAGTGAGTTTTGCTTACAAAGAAAGAAAAACAAAAGGGGAAAAAACCTCTACCTACTCCTGCAAGATGAAGGATCCTTTTATCGGTTTATCAAGTGTGGATTGAGGAAATATATTCAAAGGAGAGAACACATCGCTGTTGACGCTTGACGTTGACGGCGCCGGTTTGAACTCGTACGGACCTTGCTTTGGTCCCCAAACCTGAAACATGAGCAAGAAACCGAAACCGACAACCCGCATCAAATGAGAGTTCTGCATACCAATTAGCCATGAGCGTGCATGAGGAAATCGGATTGAACCTGGTTTCCATCTTCGTCAAATCCGCGATCCCAGAGGTGTATCTCATTGTTTTTCAGGACGGTAAGATCAGACGTACAATAGCTTGCACCATTCTTTTCATTTCAAGATGCAAAGGAAGAAGAAACAAATGTTGGTAAATATAAACTGAGTGTAAAATGAATCATTAAGTGTAAATTTTTGTATGTCTCAGAAGAAGAAACATACCCACGAATTTGGGAAACCACCAGGTGGAGCTGATCCTTCATACAAGCAACGCTTTCCACGGTCACAACAGCTAAGTTGCATCGTTGTCAAATGCTCGCCTATGTCCTGTAAATCGATACAATCAAGCTTTGTGACACCAAAATGCAGCCGCTCTAACATGACTTGTCGTCACAGCTATATCGGCTACTTACACCAATCACTTCTTCTGGAAGTGGGCGTTGGTCCTTTGGCCGGTCACAGAAATTCTTGTACTCCTCAGCATCTCTAATAGCATATGAGCTAACCTGGAGAATTTCATATAGATGAAACTGTTTAGAACTAATTTCCTGAAAAATGCATACAAAGACGACAGCTTTGGTGATCAGGAGGACATGTATGAATAATCTCCTTACCTCGACATCACATTTCAACTCCTTTGGGCAAGGCTTAACCATATACAATCTCTGCAACCCAAACTTATATAATCAAAATCGGTTCTCAAGGGTTCAGACGTGAAGAAACCATTTATAAAATGAGGAAAGCATACTTGCCGAAAGGGTTTCTGAGGAGTTCTCCAAAATGCCTGAGGACAAAGATCGATATGGCTTAACATTACATATACATACAGGATTATACATCTTCGTAATGCAAAAGAGGAAGAAGAAGAAGATGAAACTACTGACCTGTTCGAGATACAAAACCTGCGAACCATCCACCATCTCAGCTGCTGGGCAGCTCATCATCCTGCACAAGGTATTTCAAAAGCTTATAACCACATTTTAGAACTTAGAAGGCTCTGCTACTCGGAGCCATTTTAACACCAACCCACAAAGATACCAATATCAAGCTTAAAACCAAGATACAATTGAGTAAAGAAAGGAAAAAAAAACCTAGCTTTAGTGACACTGGAGAGTTAACACTCCAATTCATGAATGAGTAAGAATAATACAAACCTTATGTTGAAGTAATTATCAGGATCCCTTGATGCCTGCTCCTTCGAAAACTTAAAAACCAGTAAAACACAACCCTGAATCAGCACAAATTTTGCGTTTCTTTCTGGGGAAAATATGAAATTCAACAAGCTACTGAAGAAGTAGAGAGATTGTCGAATTTGAAAGCGGACCTTCTCGCCGCTGAGAGAGCGAGAGACGACGTGAGAGTGGTCCCAGCGAGTGGTGGATTTCGTGAGACGCTTGAGGATAACGGCGCCGCCGATCAAAAACAGCGTCTTCACCACCAAACCAGGAGCCCGGCTCCACCCGGAAGAACTCGGCTCTGGATCCGAACCCGACCCGGTACCCATAAACCCTTTCGGCTCAGTCCAAACCTTCTTCTATCCTTAGCATCTGATGTTTCCTCGAGATCAGAATGGTTAAGCTTAACCAATCAGAGATTCGCGACGCAGGAGACAATCGCCGTTTCTCGGCTTCGAACTCTCAAGAGTTTGATGAGAACTAGTGGTGATGCTATTTTCCACGTCAGTGTTTTGCTTTTCTATTTTTTTTTTCCGAAGGGGAAATTTTATTTTTTATTTTATTTTCCTCGCAAAAAGTTGATAATTTTGGTAACTAGACTAATGATTTGAAAAATAATTATTGAAATAAAAAAAGTTAGTTTTAGGATTAAGTTATGAGTCATGAAATCGATTGTATAATCTTATTTAAATTAGAAAAATAAAGAGTTTTGAGGGCTTTGAGCTCATATTGATTTAACTTGCATTGTCTTGTTGTAATCTTTTTTGAGTTGTTCAAAAAAAAAAAAAAAGTCTTGTTGTAATCTTGTTTTTCTTCTTACCTGATGCAAATGCTTGAGAATTGACGAATCATGTCTTCTTCGTGGATGATCTAGCTTTTCCTTAAGCAAGGAATCATAGAGGAAGATGAGATCTCCAATAACTATGTACCATCTCTTTGTAGGCTTCTTTGTTTCCTCCTCAATACTTGTTATCTCAGACAATAATGTCTCCACATACAGAAGCAGCAACTCAAACATCTCCATCTATTTTCAAAAAGTCACTTTAAAGTTACAACTAGCTAGCAGCTTTTTATTAACGTGAAATTGAGCGGTTTATTAGTACACAGCTTTACAATGATATATATCCCTGATCATCTATGTCAAGCTCTTCCATGATCAGTGCTGCATATTCACAGCAAGACTCATTTTGTCATTTTATATATCCCGCAAGGCCGCAACTAAGTGCAAAGAACTACAAAAAACAATTGTCAGTTGTTAAACTTTCATACTATCACATTACACTGCTGCATATTCATTTGCCATTTTTATAAACGAACAAAATAATAGAAGAGATGACTATAAACTTGATTTTGAATATTGATTTTTTTTTTTATAAATTAAGCGCCTAAACAAACACACTCAAAATTATCATAAACACACACGTTAACGTTTAATTTAAAGAAAAAAAAAAGAAGATTAAACCAACCAGCCCCAGTGCCCCACCAAATTGTCAAAACACAACATTGCACTCAACTCCATAATTATTTCAGTATCTTGTTGCCCATCATACATATATAGTTGATCCATCATACATATATAGTTGATCAGCAATTTGAGTATAAGCTTCGTGGTCCTTATTTAAAAGTTCTCTTTGTGGAAAGTGAATCTGGTGTTCGTCTTGTGTGTGAATTCCAAAGCTAGACGCCTTAACTCCTTTGTCAATACCGGTGATCCACAATAGAACACCCCTGCACGTTTATATAGGCAATTTCATTTTATATAATATTCTCTTTTTTTATATAGTTGTTAATTAGATCAAATATAATGATATAAAGCTATACGAAGCTAAGCTAATCTTTGCATGATCTAGACCTTTGTTTCTACTAGTTGCACCATTGCTTTTGAACGTGTAAAACTATATGAAGCTAAGCTATCTTTGCATGATCTGACTGCAATTTTACGATATGAATATAAGCTTATAGTAGCTTACTGTTTGATTTTATGTGTGTGTGAGAGAAGTATAACTTACCAACATTAGTGCCAGGGTGATCCAAGGCAACCTGTTTGTAGACGTCTTCCCAATTAGGTTTTGCGAAGTGAGACTTGACCCTTGTCTCAGAGACAATGTCCCGACCACTCTTGGCATAGCTTATAGACTGGAGCATATGTATGAGCGCGGAACGAGCATCATCTTCTTCGTAGACGCTAGTGCAATAGTTGTGTAGTTCTATGACTTTGCTTCTGTCCCGTTCTGCGATCTCGTTCATGATGTTCTTGAACCAATCATACGAGCCCTGCTCCCTCGTTACCCAGTAGAAGTAAGCCCTTCGCGTCTTGAAACGTTCTTTCTTACCTTGTGACTCCTTTTGCGATCCCTTCTCCATTTGGTTGAGTTGGCCCTGTTCCTTGGCATCCGTATTGTTGATAATGTCCTTGATAATACTGATCATCGGGGTGGCCCCAATCCCAAGGCCAACCAATAGAACCACCTCGTACTTCTTGTAGTCTTGTGCTGGTGCGCCGTACGGACCATCAATCAGAATTTTGGGGAAACTGTGGAAGAAGGGCCAGGTCATTGCCATTTCAAATCACCAACATTAGCTTTTCTTAGGTAGAATAATAGTCGAACAACAACAAAAAAAAAAAACAGTAATATTATGAACAGAGAAGAACTTCTATCTATATCTTCTTTAGTTCATAAAATCATTGTTTATATGAATTTGAAAATTTTGTAGATATAATAAAAATTTCGAATTTTAATAGGACAAAGGATTAGTTTTCAATGCATAACCAAGATCTATGTCCAATCAACATGACTAATGGGCAGGCTATCTTTTCAAGTGGTCAATTAAATAGCTAGACACTTTGAAATATGGTTGCGGGGGATAGATAATTCTGTCACAACGACTGAATCAACAGTAGTGGTTGTAAATAACGTCAACATGCATTCACATATATTAATTTTAAGAAAAGCCAGAGTAGCTGATCGTCGTTATCCTAGACTTCGTGGACAACAAATAGACAAACAAATGTAACCAGTGGAACATGATTATTTGGCCAAATGATGTTTCCTAGTCATTTAAATAACACTATATGTTATGTTGATTAATTATTTGGTAGTTATATGTTTCGCTACGTATTAATATAAAGAACTCGAGAGATATGTTGTGGGTTTTTTTTTAAAAAATTAATCAGCTGATTTCCATTTTTTTCCTACCACCAAGTAAACAGTAGTACTTTTGAAACAATCAAATATTGACTCATTTATATTTTTTTTGAATCGAATGTTAAATTATTCAAATAAAAAAACGTTTTTACAACGAGTGTTGCTATTATTAAAGATTTGAAAAGTTTTGAGCTCTAATTAAAACCTTGAATGAAAAAAATGTTGTTATCTTGTGAATCATATTTCTGCGGTAATTGTCTGCGGTAGGTGCATTTATATATTTCTCTACGTATGTTGTGAATCATATTTTTATCAGATAGTTATAGAAGATACTTACACGGGATTATTTGCACCATGCAACATGTCTCCGTCCGGAGGTGGTTTAGATGTCACCTGAGACATAACGCAACATGCTTCGAAAATAATCTTTTGCTGACTTCAAGACTTAAAGAAGATAGAATTTGAGAGATGCAAAAGTAATTAATAATACCTCAGCGAAAACTCGTTTGATAGCTTTTGTCCAGTCTCCCAGTGATTTTATATGAACGCTCAGATAGTCGTCTTGTGGTGCAGAAGTTATAGAAAATGGATGCCTACAAAGATATAAAATCACATGAATCGACATTGAAATGGGTTTAGATTTCTTGATTCGTAAGAATGTTCTTCCGTACCACTCAAATTGTGAGACTGCTGGGCAGTTTACAAACATGTATTGACCACTCATGTATTTGAAGTTTTTAGGCCTTGACATGTGCAAATTCAATACGTTTCCAGGATAAGCGGGAGCCTTAAGAACTTTCACCGTCCTGATGCTTGATCTGAATGCTCGTATCAATCTCTCGCATGCATAGAGAGTTATTGGTACTGCCAAGTACATCCACGTCTAAGAACAAAATCCTCGAGTTAGTTATATTTTTTTGGACGCCTGAAAATTACGATTGAAAATGTTGAAGCTCGAAGTATATATACTCACAGTTTTCTTGTACCATTCCTTGCTGAGAAACAAGTAGTATCCATGAATGATAAGGAGAATGTAGACTATAACAAACAAATGGTGAGTGTACCAGAAGGCATTGAAGCTGGCTAGTTTCTTTAGTGGCCCTGGAAGCTTTTTTTCTAGTTTGCCTCTTCTGAACCAAGGCATAGCTAGTGTAAAAGCAATTGCCATCAGAAAAACCATTACGAGCCCTGTTATTCCTTCTGTTGACTTCACAAAATGCATGTAACTCTTCGGTTGCTCCTCTCCAAAGAATTTTCCTAGAGGCATGTATGCCTCTGGAGTTGCTGCGATCAGTCTTGGAAAATCGCACGCCAAGTGGGCCACCGCGTGTATGCTTACTCCTATCGTAATTCCCACCGCTATGACCTGTAGTTTTAGACGCCAAGTTACAATAAATTGACCAACAAGACAATTCCTCAACCACTACCATAGGAGGTTAAAAATGACCAAAAAAAAGGTGTGGTTTTACCTTATGAAAGTTAATGTTGTCATCAAAAGGGACAAGAACACCCAAACTGGTCTTATTTCTAAGCCATGTGATGGTGTTCCGGCATACAGGTAACAGAATCAAGGCCATGTTCAGCTTCAGCGTCTCTGCTGCACCTTTGGCCAAACACACACAACGCCCCATCACTTCATACACTGCTCTATCCTTGTATTGAGTGTACTTGTATATGAAGAGGATGGCCATAATCATGAGCCACAAGGCTATCACCCAAATTCTTTGCCAGCTATCCAGTACGAAGAATCTCACTCCACGGTACCATCTCCTCAACGGGTTAGGGTCAAGCGTAGGCTTAAGCTTCTCAGTTAACATTTGGCTCAACTGCTTTCTTTCTTCAGTATTTGTGAGTCCAGGTTCTACTTCTGCTTGCATAAGCAAATCCTTTAGACTTTCCACCTGTTTTAAATTCACCATATATAGAGTTACAATAGCAAGAAAGTCTAATAGTATTGAATCATCATCAAGAAAGCTTAATTACCATGATGTATCCTATCTTATGTGGGTCAAGCACTTCCATTATCATTGCTGCATATTCATCTGCCTTTTTCTGGATGGTTGGCAAATTGTTTGCAGACGAACTAAGATTGATGATCTGCGAAACGTAAGAAGACAGAGCAGAGCTTAGCAAATCTCCCACCCACTAAACATTTATCATATTTTTAAATAAGTGTTTGAAGATGTTTATTGTTAAGGTTTGTGTTTGGATTTCAACTTAATTGTGTATTTTTTTATATGTGAATTTACAACTTTTAGCATATTTTCGTTTGTTTTTAAAATTTACACAAAAATGAAATGAAGATGTTTTCTTTTTTTATTTATTAATGTGATCATTAGTCTAGACAAAGTTACCTCTCTAACTTCGTCTTCGGTTAGTCTACCATTGCCGTCTTTATCCATCCTGCAATTTAGAAACCCTTTGGCTCAACTTTTCTAACATTCATTAAAAGAAAAAATTGTAGAGATCTAGAAAGTGAAACGAAACACCAAAATGGGCAATGATTAAAAAAAAAATTACATGTCAAAAAACGTCATAAGCCTGGAATCAAATTTTTGATCACTTATTTGTTCCCAAAAGTCCTTTAACTGGTCTTTATCAATCACGTCCCCGGTCATACCCCTTCTTCTAGATAATGCATCAAACAACACCAAAGCAAAGTCCTTTGAGTTCATCCCTGCAATATGTCAATATTCCTATATAATTAAATCCAAAAATATTTTTTTGTTCCAAATATTTAATATATATATTTACCTATGCATTCACCGAATTTAGACCGAAGCAGCAATCCCTCAGTAGTTTTCGTGATCTTAGCAAACCGCTTCTCCACGGCGGTCCAGCCAGCGCCACGGTCGGCCTTGCTGATGAACTTGAGGCCTTTCAAAGCCTGACCGGCCGTTGACTTCGACCGGTCCAATCTAGCTGGTTTAGAGACCGATGTCATGCGCTTGAGCTGGTTCGAAACAGAGGCGAGTCGCTTCACCAGACCGCTCCGTTTCTGCTCTGGATTCTCCTTCATGTTCGATCCATCATCGGTCGGGTCCCTAAGGATTTTCTCCATTGCCCGATCGGCGCCGCAATGATCCGTTCACCGCTCTTCTCCGCCTCTGTGTCCGAGTGATTGCCAGTTACTTCGAAGCTCCCTCTCTTCTTAACGGAAACGAGAAACAAAACAGGACCAAGAAAAGTGATGCTTAAACGGAACAATTGATTTCTTGCGTCTCAAGTCAATGCTCAGAAGAGCCTTTTTTTTTTTTTTCCCTTTCCTTTGAAGAGAACTTATTTCCCCAGACAATGAGAGAGAAAGAGAGACGATTTTTTTTAGTGAAGTGGGATATACTGTGAGACGAGTCGACGACCAAATATTTTCGCTTAGTGCGTTATATTGTTGTACAGAAATGGCGACACCCATCACTGTTGTTAATTCAACAACGTGGAAACATACACTAAACAGATTCCAAAAAAGAAAATATATCGAATCAAAAAGAGAGACGTGGGTCGACTTGGACCCACAAATTTTTTTGTTTGCCTTTCATTGTCAACTCTTGACTGATTAATTAAAGACCGAATACCAACTCATCAACAACTATTAATAAAAAAAATAAATACACTTGAAGTTTAAACCTCTGCTCTCACATGTTATAATTGGCTAGCATTGTCTTCTTGTAATCCATTTTTTTCAAATGATTGAGAATTGACGAATCATGTCTTTTTCGTGGATGCTCTTTTCTTCAAGCAAGGAATCATAGAGAAACATGAGATATTTCCAATTACTCTGTAGTCTGTACCATCTCTTTGTAGGCTTCTTTGCTTCCTCCTGAATACTTTTATCTCAGACAATGTCTCCAAATCCAAAAGCAGCAACTCAAGAATCTCCATCTATTTTCAAAATGTCACTTTAAAGTTACAAATAGCAGCTTTATATTAACGTGAAATTGAGCGGTTTATTACTACACAGCTTACAATGATATATATCCCTGATCATCTATGTCAAGCTCTTCCATGATCAGTGCTGCATATTCACTGCAAGAATCATTTTGTCATTTTATATATCCCGCAACTAAGTGCAAAGAAATACAAAAAAACAATTGTAAGTTATTAAACTTTCATACTATATAATTATCATACTATCACATAACAGTGCTGCATATTCATTTGCCATCTTTTATAAACGAACAAAATAATAGAAGAGATGACTTTAAACTTGACTTTGAATATTGATTTTTTTTTTTACAAAGCGTTAACAAACACACTTCACATAATCATCAACACACACGTTTTATTCAAAGAAAAAAAAAAGAAGAATAAACCAACCAGCCCCACCAAATTGTCAAAACACAAACATTACACTCAACTCCATAATTATTTCAGTATCTTGTTGCCCATAGGCCCCATATCATACATATATAGTTGATCATCAATTTGGGTAGAAGCTTCGTGATCCTTATTTAAAAGTTCTCTTTGTGGAAAGAGAATCTAGTGTTAGTATTGTGTGTGAATTCCAAAGCTAGACGCCTTAACTCCTTTGTCAATACCGGTGATCCACAATAGAACACTCCTGCACGTTTATATAGACAAATTCATTTTATATATTATTTCATTTTATAGTCATTAACAAGATCAAATATAATGATATAAAGCTATAAGAAGCTAAGCTAGTCTTTGTATGATCTAGACCTTTGTTTCTACAAGCTGCACCATTGCTTTTGAACATGTAAAACTATACGAAGCTAAGCTAACCTTTTCATGATCTGAATGAGATTATTGGATACGAATATATAAGCTTATAGTAGCTTACTGCTTGATTTTATGTGTGTGTGAGAGAAGTATAACTTACCAACATTAGCGCCAGGGTGATCCATGGCTACCTGTTTGTAGACGTCTTCCCAATTAGGTTTTGCGAAGTGGGACTTGACCCTTGTCTCAGAGACAATGTCCCGACCACTCTTGGCATAGCTTATAGACTGGAGCATATGTATGAGCGCGGAACGAGCATCATCTTCTTCGTACACGCTAGTGCAATAGTTGTGTAGTTCTATGACTTTGCTTCTATCCCGTTCTGCGATCTCGTTCATGATGTTCTTGAACCAATCATACGAGCCTTGCTCCCTCGTTACCCAGTAGAAGTAAGCCCTTCGCGTCTTGAAACGTTCTTTCTTACCTTGTGACTCCTTTTGCGATCCCTTATCCATTTGGATGAGTTGACCCTGTTCCTTGGCATCCGTATTGTTGATAATGTCCTTGATAATACTGATCATCGGGGTGGCCCCAATCCCAAGGCCAACCAATAGAACCACCTCGTACTTCCTGTAGTCTTGTGCTGGTGCGCCGTACGGACCATCAATCATGATTTTGGGGAAACTGTGGAAGAAAGGCCAGGACATTACCATTTCAAAATCAACAACATTAGCTTTTCTCTGGGGGTAGAATAATAGTCCAAGAAAAAAAGTACTACATATTTTCTATCGATATCTTCTTTATAGTTCATGAATCAATTGTTTATATAAATTCGAAAATTTTGTAAATATAATTAAAAAAAAAATTCGAATTTCAATAGAATAAGGATTAGTTTGTAATGCATATAATTGTTGAACCAAGATCTATGTCCAATGAACATGAGTTACACGACTAATGGACAGGCTATCTTTCAAGTGGTCAATAAAATAGCCAAACACTTGGAAATTTGGTTGCGACGCATATATAAATCTGTCACAACGACTTAAAGCTCTTAATTAATAATTAGCAGTAGTGTTATAAATAACGTCTACATTCAGATATATTCTTAAGAAAAGCCAGAGTAGCTGATTGTCGTTATCCCAGACTTCGCGGACAACAAATTAATAGACAAAACAAAAATAGACAAACAAATGTAACCAGTGGAACATGATTATTTGACCAAATGATGTTTCCTAGAATCTAGTCATTTAAATAACAATAAATAGGTAGGCATGGCCATGGTTATTCTACGTATTAATATAATGAACTCGAGAGATGTGTTGTGGATTTTTTGATCAGCTGATTTCCATGTTTTTCATTACTAGTACAAACTATTAGACTATATATCCTTTTACAATTAAAAATGGAAATATGCGTGAATTTTCACTTGGTTTTCAAAGTGTATATCAAATACTATAAATAAATAAAATCATCAGACATAAACGCAAAAAGAAAAGAAAAAATACAATTTGACAAAAAGGAATACAATTTGCATTTGGGGTTTCGTAGCAGTTGGACTTCTGATATACCATTGTGTTTTATTATGAAAAGTCAGATGTGATATTTTGTTACCACCAATTAAAAAGTAGTACGTTTGAAACAATAAAATATTTAATCGTTAACGTTTAGGTGTATTTATATATTTGTCTACGTATGTTGTGAATTAATCATATTTTAATCATCAGATGGTTTAGAAGATACTTACACGGGATTATTTGAACCATGCAACATGTCGCCAACCGGAGGTGGTTTAGACGTCACCTGAGACATAACGCAACATAATTCCCAATTTATCTTTTCCTGACTTCAAGACTTCCAAAAGATAAAATTTGAGAGATGTAGAAGTAATAAATAATGTAATACCTCAGCGAAAACTCTGTTGATAGCCTTTGTCCAGTCTCCCAGTGATTTTATATGAACGCTGAGATAATCGTCCTGTGGTGCCGATGTTATTGAAAATGGATGCCTACAGAGATATAAAACCACATGAACTGATATTGAAATGGGTTTATAAGATTTCTTGATTCATAAGAATGTTCTTCTGTACCACTCAAATTGTGAGACTGCTGGGCAGTTTATAAACATGTATTGACCACTCTTGTATTCGAAGTTTTTAGGCCTTGACATGTGCAAATTCAATACGTTTCCAGGATAAGCGGGAGCCTTAAGAACTTTCACCGTCTCGATGCTTGACCTGAATGCTCGTATCAATCTCTCGCATGCATAGAGAGTTATTGGTATTGCCAAGTACATCCACGTCTGGAAACAAAACCCTCGAGTTAGTTATATGTTTTTTGGACGCCTGAGATGACAACTGAAAATGTCAAAAGCTGGAAGTATACTCACAGTTTTCTTGTACCATTCCTTGCTGAGGAACAAGTAGTATCCATGAATGATAAGGAGAATGTAGACTATAACAAACAAGTGGTGAGTGTACCAGAAGGCATTGAAGCTGGCGAGTTTCTTTAGTAGCCCTGGAAGCTTTTTTTCTAGCTTCCCTCTTCTGAACCAAGGCATAGCTAGTGTAAAGGCAATTGCCATCAGAAACACCATTCCAAGCCCTGTTATTCCTTCTGTTGACTTCACAAAATGCATGTAACTCTTTGGTTGCTCCTCCCCATAGAATTTTGCTAGAGGCATGTATGCCTCTGGAGTTGCTGCGATTAGTCTTGGAAAATCGCACGCCAAGTGGGCTATCGCGTGTATGCCTACTCCTATCGTAATTCCCACCGCTATAACCTGTAGTTTTAGACGTACGCCAAGTTACTATCAATCGACCAACAAGACAGTTCCTCAAGTTGGTTAAAAATGACCAAAAAAAAAGTGTGGTTTTACCTTATGAAAGTTGATGTTGTCATCAAAAGGGACAAGAACACCCAAACTGGTCTTAGCTCTAAGCCAGGTGATGGTATTTCGGCATACAGGTAACAGAATCAAGGCCATGTTCAGCTTCAGCGTCTCTGCTGCACCTTTGGCCAAGCACACACAATGCCCCATCACTTCATACACTGCTCTATTCTTGTATTGAGTGTACTTGTATATGAAGAGGATGGCCATAATCATGAGCCACAACGCTATCACCCAAATTCTTTGCCAGCTATCCAATACGAAGAATCTCACTCCATGGTACCAACTCCTCAACGGGTTAGGGTCAAGCGTAGGCTTAAGCTTCTCAGTTAACATTTGGCTAAGCTGCTTTCTTTCTTTACTATTTGTGAGTCCAGGTTCTGCTTCTGCTTGCATAAGCAACTCCTTTAGACTTTCTACCTGTTTTAAATTCACAATAGAGTTACAATAGGAAGTAAGTCTAGTAGTCTTGAATCATCATCAATAAAGATTAGTTAATTACCATGATGTATCCTGTCTTATGTGGGTCAAGCACTTCCATTATCATTGCTGCATATTCATCTGCCTTTTTCTGGATGGTTGGCAAATTGTTTGCAGACGAACTAAGATTAATGATCTGCAAAATTAAAAGACAGAGCAGACTTTAGCAAATCTCCCACCCAGTGAACATTTAACAGATCTTCAGATAATTCTTTGAAGATGGTTATTGTTGGTTTGTGTTTGTTTTCAATTTGATTGTGTAGTTCTTTTTTTATATATGAACTTAGAACTTCTAGCATATTTTCGTTTGTTTTTATAATTTACACAAAAATGAAATGAAAATTTTTTCTTTTGTTTTAATAATGTGATTGATATATTTTTTTTTCTCTCAAAACTTTCGCATGTAAACGCGGAGATTAAGATCTGAGGTAATAAAGGCCTTGATCATTAGTCTAAACAAAGTTACCTCTCTAACTTCATCTTCGGTTAGTCTACCATTGCCGTCTTTATCCATCCTGCATTTTAGAAACCCTTTGCCTCAACTTTTTTAACATTCATTAATAATAATAAAAAAAAATTGTAGAGATCTAGAAAGTAAAACGAAAGAACAATATTGGCAATGATTAAAAAAAAAATATTACATGTCAAAGAACGTCATAAGCCTGGAATCAAAATTTTGATCACTTATTTGTTCCCAGAAGTCCTTTAACTGGTCCTTATCAATCACATCCCTGGTCATACCCCTTCTTCTAGCTAATGCATCAAACAACACCAAAGCAAAGTCCTTTGAGTTCATCCCTGCAATATGTTAATATTCCCATATAGTTAGATCAAAAAATATTTTTCAAAGTTAACTTTTGTTCCAAATATTTACATTCTTTTACCTATGCATTCACCGAAATTACACCGAAGCAGCAGTCCCTCATTAGTTTTCGTGATCTTAGCAAACCGCTTCTCCACGGCGGTCCAGCCAGCGCCACGGTCGGCCTTACTGATGAACTTGAGGCCATTCAAAGCCTGACCGGCCGTTGACTTCGACCTGTCCAATCTAGCTGGCTTAGAGACCGATGTCATGCGCTTGAGCTGGTTCGAAACAGAGGCGAGCCGCTTCACCAGACCGCTCCGTTTCTGCTCCGGATTCTCCTTCACGTTCGATCCATCATCGGTCGTGTCCCTAAGGATTTTCTCCATCGCCCGATCGGCGCCGCAATGATCCGGTTCACCGGAAGCTCTTCTCTGCTTAAGCATCACTTGGAAGCTAACTCTCTGCTCAACGGAAGAATTCAACGGGAAACGGAACGAGGCCAAGAAAAGTGATGCTTAAACGGAGCAACTGATTTCTTGTGTCTCAAGTTAATGCTCGTAAGAACTTATTTTATTTTTTACTGTTCTTTTGCTATGAAGAGAACTTATTTTCCGAGACAATAAGAGAGAGACGAATCTTAAACTCTTTGGGATATACTGCGAGACGAGTCGACGACCAAAGATGTTCGCATATATAGTGGCATAGTGCGTTATGTTATTGTCTAGAAATGGCGACGCTATCAATAGTTAGATAAGATTGAAAGAAAACAAAAGACTATTAAGCTAAACAGATTCGAATACTATAAAAGGAAACTCGAATCAAAAAGAGAGACGTGGCTCGATTGGGCCCACAGTTTTTTTATTTGCCTTCCATTGTCAACTCTTGTGACTGATTAATTAAAGACCGAATACCCTGATTAATAAAGACCGAATAGCAACTCGTCATCAACTATTAATAAAAAATATACACTTGAAAGTTTAAAAACCTCTGCTCTCACATGTTATTAAATGGTATCTATTGGTAATTCTCTATAATATACATCACATGGTTGCCTATCTTATAAACATTTTCTTAGTCAATAAACACCAGGGTCCAACTAATATCTGATTCATAAACAGGCTTCTATATTTGATTGTTTCCATCATCTTTACCCTGTTTCCATTAACGCCTCCGTTTTCGTTAGTAACAACTGAAATTAAACTAAATTGTACAGAGCAAAATATTTGGCAACAGGATTTATTAAGTGTTCCATTAAAGTATGTATTAAGTTACATCAACGGATTAGAGTTTTGTAGAATCATAAATTAAAGTTTAGACGTAAAAAAAACAATTTGTTTTTTGGACGGCCTTAAAAAGAAGATTAAGCGAAAAACTTAAACACATGAAGAACCAAAACCACAGGAAGAGCAATACATGGTAATTACTCATTAAACACAGTAAATAAGATTCAGCTAACAAGATCAAGATGAACGACTCTGTGACACAATACAACAAGAGAGCTGTGTCTTTATTACCATGACCAATATTTTATTAAGAAACTTCAGTAATTAATGCAGAACTCGCTGAAGACTAATTGTTCAGAACTGTGCGCTCAAGCAGAAGAGGCAGAAGCAGCCTTTGCGGCCTCAAGTCTGGAACTAACAGCTTCCCAAGACACAAGATTGTTCATGAATGTCTTTATGTAATCCGGTCTCCGGTTCTACTCATACACAAAAGATTACAACAATCTCAACAAAACAAAGAAACTGAATAAAAGTTAAAACTGTTTTCTATTATAATTCTGAATAAGCAGCTGTTACCTGGAAGTCTAGGTAGTAAGCATGCTGTTCGATGTAGGGAAATAAGAAGACAAGAGATCAATACATTTGTTACGAAAAAGTTGGGTTCTAGGAAAAAAAACTGTAAAAGTGGCTATATTTTTATACCTCCCAGACATCAATGGTAAGCAATGGCTGAAAGAAATCACCACCAAGATTAAATGTAAGAAAATTGTATTAATTGTAGGTTATTTCTAATCAAGTAAATCATGTATTCAAGCTCCTTCATGAAAAAAACTTACGAAAGAGTCAAGCACAAGGGGATTCACGGCATTTGGAGTTTTCACTACTTTGAGTTTGTCATTTGCGTCTGAAAACAGAGAGATAATAAAAGAGTAAGGAGGAAATTAAAATAGAGTGGCTGCTGCGGCATTAAACTCATCATTAATTATAAGTGTTAAGCTCTTAAAAATATGAACTTACAAGCAAGCCAAGCCCATCCAGCTCCAAATTGAGTGGCTGCTGCAGCATTGAACTCATCGTAGAATTTCTCATAAGAAGTGAAATCTCTTTCAAGCAAAGCAAGAAGCTCTCCTGACGGTTTTCCTCCACCACCGGGTTTCATTGATTCCCAGAAGAATTCGTGGTTCCAAGCCTATAAACATCATTGGATCAGCTAAACACCCTTTTAAAACCTCAAATTGATATGTTTTATTTTATTTATTATATTACCTGAGCAGCGTTGTTGAAAGCAGGGAGGAGATCGCCATTGTTGTAAGTCTTGAGGATAATGTGATCTAAGGGTTTGCCTTCGAGCTCGGTTCCAAGAACCTGTTTCTTGAGGTTGTCCACGTAAGCCCTGTGATGCTTTCCCCAGTGAAACTCCAGAGTTTGTCGGCTCATATGCGGCTCCAAAGCATCCTTTCAAAACAGTAACCCAAACAACATCTAATCAGAACGCTCTCATTCAAAATTCGCTAAAGAAGGAATAATAAACATTTGAATTCGGACTAGGAAATTTGGTTACGGGTATGTTAACTTAAGTATCCGTGTATATTAAACCATTCATTTACAATAGTACATTCGATAGGTTAGCTTGTATCATTTTTTCAAATAGTTTCCGAACTTTTTAAGAAAATTAATGTTTTAAAATTATAACGTGAAATCCCACTTTAAGTGGTTCAAGTGCATGTCACCACTCACCAGACTGCACCACACTTTTTCTATTCGCCATTCGAAATTCGAGGATATTATTTCTCCCCTTATTTCTTTAGACATGAATATCCAAATTTCCTTACGTACTTGACACGTGGTTCCGTAATATCCCGTAAATTTTTAATGTAAAAGGGGGCTTATCCTAAAAATTTATTCAATCTGTTTTTTTTTTTCCTCTTCCAATATGAAATTAGAAGAATTCGTTCGTAACGCCTTTTGACAAGGAATGAAAAGGTATTTTGAGGGCTAAATGTGGGATTAACAAGTTCTTAGATCAACAAAGAAACGAATTTCTTAATCAAAGTAACCAACCAATAGTTGCCGACAGTTCCAATTGATTTGAAGAAACAAATAAACGGAATCATACCAGAGAATATGGAGGTGGCTTGAGGACGTAGTTTGCGGTTACTGTATTAGAAGCAGCCATTTCTTTTGGGACTGATGAAGCTGCACATTTTCAGACAACATAGCATGTAAACCAACCACAAGTTAATTAATATCCTTACGAAACACATGCATAAGCATAGATATACAAATTAAATTCAGTTAGAATGACATGTCTAGGTAGAGGAGTTAAGCAAGAGATCAGCAAAACTTGAACAGAAAAATAACAAAGTGGAACAGAGATAGAATCGGAACCTCTAGTTTAAGGGAAAGTGAGGAGAGCACACGCCAGTGAAATCTTTTGTGTGTTATGTTTTTATGTTTGAGGCTGATTTTTGGTACATGTGGCCAGTACGTATCATCTGTACTATCATTATCTCTTCTCTTTGTAGTACATTTTTTGTTCCTTTCTCGCTTGGTCCTATAGACTCATTGTGTCGTCATAATATTGACATTTGTTTCTTTAATGTCAGTTTTATAAAAAAATTTAATACAATTATTATTTATTATTATTTATTCAACTAATACATGTTTATTGAGGTAACCTACGTTAATTTCATACCTTCATTGGGTGACCAAATTTAGGCCTAAGTACTTATCCAGTTTCTCAAATTTTCGTAGAAATAATCTAAACTTCTTGTGAAGAAATGTCTGGATGAAAATAGTCAAGACTGAAGAGATCTCATGATGTATAACTTGATTGTTTTTTTTCAAAGATGGTGTCTTTTAACCATTTGAAATTTCTCAAAACTATAATTTTCATCTAATGAAAAGGCCAATATATACTATGAATTGAACATGCCCCATATATAATCTTCACTCAAAGCTAAATAACGTATTTTATCTTCTGAAATTTCATACTCTCTCTCTCTTTTTTTTTTTCTGTCCTCTTAAAGTGAAATTATAGAGAGAAGGGCTTCCCGTACACAGCAAATGCCTCGTTAGCGCTCAACTGTGGTTCCTGTGGTAGCATTTCAACATACAAAATTTTATTATCATTAATGCAAATCAATTAACATACAAATTTTCCAATGTTGATGTATAGGGGAATTAGGGATAAGGAATCACGTCACACTAATATCAACTGGTCCAGAAGAACTATTTCTTTATTTGGGTATAAAGAGTAGTCTTTTAAGTTGGAGATGGCCATATAAGTATTGCGATATCGATGAGTGAGGTTCTAATCTTAACTATACATGGTATTTACTTTTTTTGGTTAAAGATATAATAAGATGAAGAATAAACATGAATGGATCACCTGAGTTTTTTGTGGGGCTTGGTTCACTTCCTCATCATCTGGAGGAGCAACGCCTAAGATGAGCATACCAAGAAGAGTAGTGAGAAGATCAGCGCCTTCCACTTCCACAAGCTCTCTACCTTTGTTTTTGTCGAAGATCTCGTGAACCGTTGATCTCATTGCATTCAGTAAGCTCCCATAAGTCGTTCCATGGCCACGTTCTATGGCTTGAATGAATGCATACGTCATTGCCCCCGTCCATGCACTCCCTGACAGTTGCTGCAGTGCACACAACTTTCTTTGTGAGAGCTTTTAAAATGCACGGCAAGGTAAAAGATGGATGATTCACATTTTGTGGATTATTTGTTACAAATACAATCAAATGTTTCTCGAGCTCTAAGTAGATTATAATTAGCGGGCCAAAAGTACTCAGGATCATACCGGAGTGTCAGCTGAGGTTTGGTCATCGTCGCAGCCTGTGAAGGAGAAGACTTCACCGCCACTCGTACCTTTCCACATCCCTGACGGCGGCCGATGGTCTTCCCACTCATATTTTCCGAGTCTGTTCAATCAATGAAGGATCAATAACAAATAGCTACTTAACACTTTTACCAAAAAAAAAAACAAATAACAAATAGCTAATGAAACTATACATCAACATTTTATTTGTGTCATATAGGGTTTATAACGTTTATAAGAATTATATATATTGTCTTCATTATATTGTTCTTTTACATTTGCCTTTACATGGTACAATGATGTGTTTTTTTCTTTTTCTTTTTTCAAATAGAGAAGTCTACGTACAACCTCTAGTGTTTCAAGTGTTTCAATGAAACAAAAATTCTTTAACTAACAACGCAACCAGGAAGGAAAAGGGTAAATTCATTTTGTAGTTTTGTGTTTGAGTCTACAATTTGAAATAATATTTTGGTCCACCTATGTGGTTTTCCTAACCATCATCAAGCTAAAGGGTAAATGACTAAATGAGAATGGTTCAATAGACCTCGTTGGCGGAAAACATATACTTTAATAAACATACAAAAAACTGACTTTAAAGCAATCCAAACCTAAATATAGAAATATAAGTTCAGAATTATACTTAGATACATACCTGTCCATTCTACAAAGATAGGGCAAGTCCAAGACGGTGCCACTATGACAAGCGTCGACGATGGCATGGAGCTTAACTCCATAAGGGAGAGGCCGTACGATTGTAGCATTGATCTCGTCGTCTACGATGACACCTGAGGTCGCGTGGTCCACCGGGAGAAGAGTCTCGTCGAAGCCATCTACCTCGTCGCCGTTGTGGTCCATCTGGTTGTTGCCGTGACCGGAAAAATGGAAGACGAGGGAATCTCCCGATTTGCAGCCTAAAACTAGCCAATGCATCGCCATTGTTATGTTGTTCTTCGTTGGCCATCTCAATTGATCCGCTTCTTCTTCTACAACATTTTTGACACTTTTGACATTACTTTTGTGTGTAACTCAAATTATGATATTTTGCAACTATTATTCCCTCTCCGGTGTTGAAGAGTCAGATGTTTAATAAATGAACCAAAAAAACCTCCGGAAAAATTCTAAAGTTTATGAATAATCAAATTTCAGAACTAGTATTTTCCACCAAGTAAAATGATTAATGAAGTAACTAAAGACATCATCGTATAATCTTGGGAGATAATGCGAACGCGTTCTGATTACTAGTGATTAGCAACAATGAGGAAATTGTCGAGTCAAGAAAACATGAAAGATGCAGAGAGAAAAACAGAGTAAATACCGGTGAGCATAAGAATGCAAGACTCAGGGAATTGGAAACGCTTCATCAACATGAACTTCATGCATTTTGCGTCATTGATACATCCTTTCAATTCGTCCTTTGTATTCTTATACGTAACCCCGACGATCACCGCTCGCTTCTGTCCGTGTACCGACGGCGGAGGCCCCGGCGGCGCGTGATTATACGGAGACGGAGCCGGCGGCGAATGATTAAACGGAGACGGTTCCGGAGACGCTGGATGGAATGTACTCGGCGTGGACAACGAATGACTGAACAGAGACGGTGCCGAAGGCGCGTGACTGAACGGAGACGGTGCCGGTGGCGCGTGATTGAACGGAGACGGTGTCGGTGGCGGGTAGACGAAAGGAGAAGGTGTAGGCGGCGCGTGAATGAACGGAGAAGGTGCCGGGACAGTGAAGGAGTTGGGGAAAGGAAGAGGGCTCGGCGGCGCGTGGGAATGGAGACGAGGCTCGGGAGCGACGAGAGTGAAGGCGTGGCAAACGGCGCAGCGGATTCTGGTGGCTCCGGGAGGGAGGTGAAGCGGCGTACGACAGCTAGAGCAGTCCACCAGCAACAACATTCTTTTTTATATTTTGATGCTTCCCAAAAAAAATAAAGCCTTTTTATTTTCTTCTCGATATTTCGAATTTCCACCTAAAAGTTTCAGATTAGTTAAAACACTTTCTTTCCGATGTGGTGGCCAAACATCAATGATCCATGGCGGAGGTCTCAATTACAACGACGCGTTAGAAAAAGATGAAAAAACAAAGCCGAGAAGAAAAATGCGGAGGAAGAGAGACGACTTTTAGGTTTAATAAGTCGTCAAGTCAAGACTTGCCAACACAATCATGCGCCTAGTCAACTCATACAAACATTAATATACGCACAAATTTAAATTTGCAAGTTGAGAATTTTGAATGTTCCTTATGGTTGGATTTGATAGTGCAAGGGAACTAATTAGAATGTAATTGACTTTGATTTAACGAGTTCGTTTGACTTCTATTTCGAATAAAATTTTCCCACCATAATATATAATTTTTTTTTTTATGAAGCTGTTCTCATTGATCATCGACATTGTAAATTTGTAATGTCCGGTATACACAACATTCACTCATCAAACTTTGACAATTATCTAAACTTGTAAGGAGTAAAATTCGTAAGCTACAGAAATTTTTATATTGGAAACAAAACTGTATTTAATTGTCATCGGAAAAGTTTACAAGACTGGTTTCTATAGAGGAAACGAAAACTCGTATTCTTTCAAAGCAACAGGCCCATATGGATGAAGGCCCAATAGAGAGCATCTATACCGGAAAAGGTAGTTTCCTAGCCTGAAAACGGGACGTCTTTCTCCTTAGGTTTTTATTTTTCCAGTCTGACTATGGTTTCGACCATTTTCGAAATTTCCCTCTCTTTCTCTAGGGAAAAGGAACCGACCAAAAATTAGGGGAAAAATGGAGAATCACCCGCCCAACAGAGGAATATGGAATCAAGAGTATAGTAATGGTCGGATTTCTCAAAGCTTCAGGATCGCCAAGCCGCTCCTTGATCGAAAAAGGCCATTTGAGAATGCAGCTAATTTCTCCACTCCTCCTCAAAGGTCCGATGTCTCTCTCTTTTTTTTTTTTTTTGATCTTCTTTCAATTGATTCGAATTCTTTGTTTGATCTTTAGCTTACGTTAGCAATCTACATTCTTCTCTTTGCTAAAGTTTGCAATTTTCCGTCAGATTTCTGTATAGTGACTCGTTGCTCTTCCATTTGTCCTGCTTTAGGATTTGGTTTTTTTTTTTTTTTTCGTGGTGAGTATAGGAATTTTTTGCTATATTTTTCTCTCTCTGAAAATCAAGTTGCATAGCCACTATGTTTCATCTATACCTTGATTTCATTCTTTATTAAATCATTGGAATTGGCTTCATCAGTTTTGGTATAAACGTGGGATTTTCTTGTAAAATGTGATCAAATCTCTACCTGGTGTTGCAGAATCAAGGATTCTATGGGTACTGGATCCCTTGTTCGTCAGTCTAGCTTCAGTAGGATTCCTCTTATGGAGTTATCAGAGAATACACCATACAAACGCCTGAAATCAGGGTTTGAGTCATCTGATGTTAGTAAGCCTTGTGGCATGAGCATCCCTTCTCCTAGATTTGGTCTGGATGAGGAGGTCAAAAATGGATTTCAGACCGAGGGTTTTGCAGACAATGGAACTTCACCAGGACCATTTGTTACTCCCCTAAAAGAACCAGAAAGGGTTACACTAAGTCATGGTTGCTCTACTTCTTCACTTCTTGATGATGACATTGATGATTCCATTTTAGAAGAGATTGACGCTATTTTTGAACAGTCAGCGAAAAAAGCGGCATCTCAAACTCCAAATATAAGCATATCTCAGACTCCGTCCAAAGATAATAAGAACAATGACCTCATGGCCAGCTTGGACTCTAGAGCTGTTAATTTTTCTGAGCCAGAATCTAATGCCAAATTGGAGCTCAATGAAGAGACTACCATTTCTGCTGATCCTGCATTGATCAATTGCATGCCTGATGAGTGTTCAAAATATATGCAGTCTTTAAATGATAGACAGCGTGATGCAGCCTGTAGTGAGATTTCAACTCCTTTGATGGTTATCGCTGGCCCTGGAAGTGGAAAGGTCGGTATCTTATTACACTTCGTCTCTTCTGAGGCAAGATTTTTTGTGCGTTTTCCTGTCATACAGCCATTGCTAACTATTCGTTTTTCCATGTTAGACTTCCACCATGGTTGGCCGTGTCTTAGTGTTACTCAATGAGGTAATATCACTTATTGCCGGTGAATGATGTAGAAAGTCTTTCGTACTTGAAATCTTGTATGTGAAATTAGACTTGTGACTGTCCATTAAACTTAAAGTTTTGTGCTCTTTTCAACTTAATAGGGTCTACATCCATCAAATATCCTTGCAATGACTTTCACTACAGCGGCAACTGCTGAGATGAGAGAGCGCATAGGAAAATTTGCTGGAAAGAAAGCAGCCAAAGACATAACAATCAGTACATTCCATTCATTTTCCTTGCAGCTTTGTCGGATGCATGCAGACAAGTGAGTTTATGTATTATGAATTGCTTGGTAAATTTGTAAGATCTTCTTTTGGTGGTTAATCTCGAGTCAAAATGTAGGTAGAAGACATTATATTAGTTTCTCTTAAAACTGAAAAATCTAACTTTCTATTGGTGACTTAACTTATAAAACCAGGAAATGAGGAAATGGAAGTAATCATTGAAAACAAGATTAGTTGATGAAAATCTATTCTTGTTAGTATATTTACCTGCTTTGCAGAGTCGGTACTTTCCCTTTTCTATATTACTGTTCATTTGTAGTTGTTGGTTACATATCACTCATTGACATCTTTAAGGTTATGGATTCATGGGATTCGTGTACCTTATACCTTTCCTACTGTCACAGGTTACAGCGTACATCTGAATTTTCAGTGTATGGACATGGGCAACAAAGAAGAGCAATAATTGAAGCAGTGCGTTTATATGAGGAGGAAAAGAAGAACGGAAGCAGTATCTCTGAGGCATGTGAATCTGTGGAAGGTCTGAATGGAGCCGGTGCAGGAGCAGTATGTCCTGAATATGCCAAGGATAGATCAAAGAAATGGCAAAAATATGTGACCCAGGTTGACAATGGAGAATTGACATAATTTACTTTCTGGTCTAGTGATAGCGCGTATATGCTGTCTTTCACATTTAGTTCATCTCTGACCATTAGTTTTTTTTAACTTCTTTCCGCATTTTTAGGGAAAGGCTTCCGGTAGAACTCCAGAGGAGTGCTGTAAGATGGGCAATGAGATAGGAGTAAGTCAGCTAGACATTTTTTCAGGATTCTCTACTCTAAATTAGCTCATGACGACATGATTCTTCTACTGGTTCTAATACAGGCTAAAATTCTTGGGAACTACAATGATATTCTTAAAGCTTGTAATGCTCTGGACTATCATGATTTGATCAGTTGTTCGGTCACGCTGCTCTCCGACTTTCCAGAAGGTAAAGCCACATAGATCAATTTTATTGCTTTAAGATTTATGATACTCAAGAGTCCTTTGTATTTATGCGTATTTGCTGAATTTGATTAAAGTGTTTAAGGAGTGCCAAGATACCTGGAAAGCCATCATAGTTGATGAATTCCAGGACACTAGCACAATGCAGTACAAGCTTCTACGAATGCTAGGGTCTCATAATCACATAACTATTGTTGGTGACGATGATCAGGTACCTTATTTTCAAACATAACTTACTTCTCCTATTTTGATTATTAAAACTGAAAGCATGATGGACCTTTTCTCGCAGTCAATCTTCGGTTTTAACGGGGCGGACAGTTCAGGAATTAATTCTTTTCGCAGAGATTTCCCAAATTACAAAGAGGTTTGGCTTCTCCATCTGAATAATTTTTCATAGATTATACCACATATGATGTATTAACTTCAAAAACCAAAAGCTCTCTACTCTGAATCGCGGATACAGAAAACTCATCTTACTGCTTCTGATTCAGGTCAGGCTGATAAAAAACTATCGCTCCTCCCGCTATATTGTGGAAGCTGCATCTTCTATTATAAAAAATAATTCAAAGCGGTGCCAATCAAAAAGCATTTCGTCTGAAAACTCTCAGGGATCTAAGGCAAGTTGAACTTGTCTCTATGAGAAATTGCATCATTTAGACGCTACAGGCTAACTTTTTATTGTTTCACTCAGTATAGATTACTGTCAAAGAATGTCATAACGAGGAAGCACAGTGTGCATTTGTCATTGACAAAATAGCTGAAATCACTAATGATGGCTCAACACCTTGTTGTTCCTATGGAGATATTGCCATCCTTTATAGGAGGCAGGTCAGTCCTTTTCTTTTTCTTAATGACATGTTGTCAGAATGTCAAAAACTCTTCTAGAATTACTTTTGTGTTGGCTATGACGAATGTACACTGTACTGATATTCAGGTATCAGGTAAAGTCTTCCAAAATGCATTCCGCCAGAGAAAAATACCATTCAACGTTCATGGTGTTGCTTTCTACAGGAAAAAGGTAGATTGCCTCATAAGATGCTCATTTGTTTAATTGTTGCACCATGTAATTCAGTGCTTGATACATTGACAGTTCCTCCGCATGACTACCTTAGCTTTACATATTTCAGACAATAAGCTCCATCTAATAAAACAAATATCATTTTTTTCGACGTTAGGTTGTCCGTATCATTTTGGCCATGCTGAGAACAACATTTTCCGATTGTGATGATGCTTCATATCGGCGAGTGTTTAAGGCACTGCTTCCTTTTGAGAAAGAGGAAAAGAAAAGGGTTTGTACCTTATTTGCTCTTGTTTTATTTCATTTGGATGATTATCTACGATATACTTTTTCTTTCTCAGTTTAGGCTATCAGGACATACAGTATGTTGTTAGTAATATTTACCACCGTTTTCAGGTAGTAGAACATATTGAAAAAATCTCCACTAGTAGGAAATGCAGCTTCATATCGGCGGCAAATGATATCTTCAGAGCCAAAATTTCTGGTACCTTCAAGAGGTATTGTTTGATGAATTCATTAAGAAATGGTAGAATACTGGTTTATTTGTGATTCTGAATTGAGGATATTATTTCCTTCTAAGTATATTTACTAGGACATAAATACAAGTTTTCTCATATAAATGAGCTTCTACTTTTCATGATGCATGCTTAAGTGATGGATATGTAATTTCATCAACAGATGTAGGTGACATTGTTTGTGTATATACATATTTTAATAATGCGATACTGCAAGTTATATCCCCTCGCAGTTTTGTTACTTTAATTCATGTTTTATGTAAAGCTTCTTAGGTTCGTTTGAATTAACCTCAGGAACCAGCTTACCCAGGGACGCAAAGTGTTGCAAACTCTTGACATGGTAGCAAAGCTGGTTGATAGGGTAGGATTTATGTTTCCCCGTCCTTTAAATACTATGCAATCATTAATCATTAGTTGAAATGATAAATGCTTATTTCAACCTAGCACTACTGATCCCTTACCTCTTGATTATTTGAAGGAACAATCACTTTCTGCTGTAGTAACATGCGTGGCAAATATGATACCGCAGGTAATTAGTCTTTCTGTCTTGAGTGATGACGTGCTTATAACTATTGCCTAGACTGTCATCTCGAGAGTTATAAAAACATGCAAGCAAATTTTTTTTTTTTTTTTGGTTAACCAAGACAGTTATAAATTCTCTTGATATGCGCTATTGAGATTAAAAAAAGGAGCTTATGGTTGACAATCCAGTTTCAATCTTGAAAGTGTATAGATATCATGATTATATGCTTAAGTAAAACTTTCTCTGAGAGTAGTTTATGAACACGTGACTTTGATTTGAAGATTTAGTGTGTCTTTCCTTACAAACTCCTTATGTAATATCATAACCATTTCTTTTCTTGATCACGTTTACTTGCTCATGTTGTTTCAACTTTTAGAAATACCTTCTCGAGCAACGAGCAGTTGTGGATAATGATGGAGGAAAACTGCTTAATGAAGACAACGATCTTAGATCTGTACGTGGCTTTTGCTCTTCAAAAATTTGGGATAATCTTTTTTCTCCGTATGCATGTTTTGAATATATATTTTGGGGAATTCTGTTTTTCAGGTACTCCAGTACTTAATGGATGATGTAGCTGACTTTCTTTCCACTCATCACTCTACAAATGAAGAAGAAGTGGATGCAATCAAAGAAAAGAAATGCTGCAATCAACTTTATTCATTTATCAGCGTTATCTCCGAGCGCGAAACTGAAAATTTTCGTTCAAGAAGACATGACAATGAAAATTCTGTCACATTGACCACCATTCATCAGGTTTTTGTCATCCACTCGAGCTGTCCACAGTTTGGTATCCATTGGTTTAAGAATTAGTTACTTCAGGTAGTTATGATAATATTGGCTTATAAATCTTGTTCGTCTTTATGCAGTCTAAAGGTTTGGAGTGGGACGTAGTTTTCATAGTCAAGGTATATGTCATTCTCGGTTAATTTCTTTACCGGGCTGTTGGCAGTTACGGACCTAGCATATACTGTTTTTTTTTTATGGAAACAATGAAACAAAAATTTCCTAGCCCCAGTTTGAATCGAAGTTTTGCTAAACAGGCTAATGAAAACGAGATTCCCCTGTTACATGAGTCTAACGGCACTGTATCAGAGAGTGGAACATCACTTGAGGTATCACTCTTTTTTTTCCTGTAGTATTTTATTAACTCTGTACCCAGTTCCCTCCTCTGCGAACTCCACAAAATCTAAAATCAGAGCATTATCTGTTTAAATTGTAGGAAGAACGTCGCCTTCTGTATGTTGCTATGACTCGTGCTCGCAAGAAATTATTTTTCTTGTATGTGACAGTGGATTCGAACTGGCAGGTTAGCACTACACATGATTTGTGAATTTTTCTTCTAATTTTGTCTCTGACTAATGACCTTCCATCTAGGTGCTCCAACCTTCACGATTTCTTAAAGAGATTCCGGGCCATCTTCTACAGGTTCAGATCTCAGTTTGTTTGCAATTTTATGCATGATAATGTGATAGCGCTAATAGGAACTCTCAAATATGTCTGTGGTCAAACGTTTTACTCCTTCTGGTAGTTATGATCTCTAGTTCCCCCAGAGTCAGCCAATAGCCAAACAGCAAACCTTGCTGAGGTCTTGACGTTTGTCTCTCTTTTTTTATGCAGGGAGACTTGAGCATAAATGACTGCAGAAAAGTTCATCAAAACCTTCCAAACACGACTGAGCAGAGCGTCTCCAATTTTGGAACAGAAATAAAGCATGAGGATAACAAACCAACTGATAATAATGCGATGAATATTCCAGTAGATGATGCTACGGAGGAGTCAATAGAGGCGGCATATGCACTCCATGGGAACATTTTCCTTAAGAGGTTACGTACTTAAAAACCACCATAACTATCTTATTTGGCACTCTTTTCGTCTGTTTCATCATTCAAAGGTGTAGATCTTTTATTCTCAATAGGTTTGATGTGGAGGTTAGATCAGTTGTCTCTCACTTATTTCACACCTGGGCTAAGAAACAAGCATTCCAGGAGCCGAAGAGGCTGATTGACAAAGTGAGTATCGCATACTCTGCAACAATTCTCCATCAGCAGTGAGCGTCAGCACTGTTCTTAGCTTACCTTTCATGTCAATGTTTTCGTACGTGCAGGTAAGGTTTGTAATTGGTGAACGTTTGGCCATCAAGAAGAACAAACACAAGGTTGTATACCTCTTTAATTAAATATGGTTTCGTCTATATATTTATTCATAAACAAACAGACACAGTCGTTCTTGTTTGGTTAAGTTTATCTATGAAGCTTTATGGTTAAAGCCTACCAGTACATACGGGGTGTTGAAATATGCTTTGGTGACTAACTGGATGCTGCCCTATTTTGTTAGGATGTCTTGCGAGCACTTAAATCATTATTGACTTCCGAAGAAGCGTTCCAATATGGAGAACATGTAAGCATGTTATCGGGGAATATAATTGTCACAAACTAATGAGTTGATAAAAAATGAAAACTGAGATAGTGATGCTCCTGTTCCTGTGTACTTTGGGGATGTCAGGTACTTAGGTGGGAACAACTTCCTGCAGACACACGGGCTCATATAGTGCGTGAGAAACAGGTAATGTGTACCTCTGTTTAATGAAAGCAAGAATTTATAAATCAACTCACTCCTTAAACTTGAAAAAAACTTATGTTTCAGGAGCATTTCCAAAAACTCAGAATTGAAAACTCAATGGGTACTTCAGAAGCAACCAGTAAACAGGTGAAAACACTGTTCTATTCATCCAACGCATTGTACATTACTTCTGTCTAGCATGCATCTTAGCCACCCGATGATTGGATAAATGATACAATTTCTGTAATGTTTTTGAGATGGCAGATCGCATTTCTGCATAGTCTAGGATGCACGGTGGTCCCAACATCACGTCTCCATGCGTCACGTTTGATCGAACAGTACAAATCACTGTGAAATTTTCTTGAGGTATTTATATAATATAGTCCCAAGACGTTCATATGGACAGACAAAGGAGCCTGGAAATGATCTCGATTTTCTGATGGAAGGTTCATGGGGTAATGGTCAATGTTAAGAAGGTAGATAGTGATTTTCATTTGCCCATTAGTTGGAAATCTGAAACAAACAGTTAATGATGTATCTCTAGCTAATATCTTTTAGTAAATATCTCTACTAAGTGCCACATTTGAAGGAGTTTGTGACATGAGACTCCTTTCTTTTGGATAAAAATGTGAATGTACTGGAAATGATATAAAATGTTATTTATATACTAGTTGGAAACCACCATTACATACGAGAACGACAATGATTTTTTGTAAAACTGAATATTATAGATTGAAATCCACGAAACTAAATATTGTACACCACATGACTAAGACAAGAGACGAATGTGATCTACAGATTATTATATTTTCATGAGATAACTCACTTTTTCATGTGCTCGAGAGGGTGACTAATCTCTTAGCCATAGCATCGGATTGGATCGTTGCAACCTTTCTCAGCTGATTGTCTGAGACCCATGCGACCACCTTTTGCCAGGTACTGCTGGTGGTAATTTTCTGCTCTGTAGAATTTCTTGGCGGGAAGTATCTCTGTCACAATCTTCTTGTTCAAGATCTTCTCCTGTTTCTCCACAGCTTCACGAGCTAACTTCTCTTGCTCGTCTGTGTAGTAGTATATACCTGATCGATACTGTGTTCCCACATCATTCCCCTGCTCAATCAAGAAATAACTCACATACGTAAGGACCACAACAACAATACCAGATTCATCCTCAAATTTGTTCTCAGGATAAAGAACAAATTTAAGTCAATGAAATGCAAACCGAGAAGACAAGACGAAGCATATCGAAAGAGCCAATATCACTTCCACGCAATCCAACATGACAAAGAGCAGATTCTGATATAGCTCTAACTTCGTATGAGTGGCATAACAATCTTGACAAAGCAAAAACAAGCCAACACTACCAAATCAAAATCTAACAAAAACCAAAGCTTGAAACAGCAAAGCAACAGAAGTTTCGTGATTGAGCAAGGATCTAGAACCAAATCAACATGTGATCCAGAAACACATAGAGCTCTCTACGAACAGACAATTATTAATTCCAAAGGTAATTCGAATGGAGATGCATGCGATCAAGTCTAGATTTTTTTCTCAAGATAAAGCTATCACCTGGCGATTCAAGGTGGTCGGATCATGGCGCTTCCAAAAGACATCGAGCAAGTTCTCAAAGCTGCACTCTTTCGGATCGTACTGAACCCTAACAACCTCGTTATGCCCTGTCGTGCCCGTACAGACATCCTCGTAGCTCGGATTATGGACGAGCCCATGGCTATACCCAACCTCGGTCCTGGTCACTCCAGGAACCCTCTGGTAAGCTAACTCCACTCCCCAGAAGCAACCGGCGCCGAATTGCGCGAATTGCTGACCTGGCGACGGGACATCGTCGTCGGGTCCTTGGGCGATTGCGGCGGAAGACGGGTCGGGTTGGGGACGAGACCCGAATCCGAGTCTGTTGAAGAGGTTGTTCATAGGTGGTTTATAGACGGAGATGGGTCGAGATGTTTTCGGGAAAGGGCAAATGGGTTTGGCTCTAGATAGAGGAAGTGCGGCTTTAGAGAGAGAATGGAGAGGTTTAGAGAGAGAAGCGGCGGAGATGACCGGAGGAGAAGCGGCGAGAGCTAGCATTATCAAAATAGAAATGGAGAAGAGTGACGTGGGGAAAATGGGAACTCTAGAGTCGTATACTTCTTCTATCTTAAATTTCTTCATCTCGCAATATACTGTCGTCGATATCAAGAAACTTCCGGAACAAAATTAATCTTTTTTGTTATTTATTAGTATTAACAAAATTAAACCTTTTGTCTCATAACTAAAAACGAATTCTCAACGTATAAAATTCCAAAAAAGTGGATCTCTTAAGAATCACAGCTATGTATTTCTCTCTCTCTCTCTTTAGAAGAAGTCATGAACTTATAATGATCCAACTTCTTGTAATCATTGTGTGTTTTCCAGGGCTTTTAGCTCTATATTGTTAAAGACTAATGATTCATGTTACAGACTAAATTTTTAGATATCAGCTTTCAGGTCAGGATTTGGCATCATGCTTTCTTGATAATTAGTTAATTACTGTCCATCCTACAAGGCTACAAACAAATAACGTAGGTAAATGAAAAAAATAGTCTTGGACAAGGACTTTTTCGTTCCGGATTTGATTCTGTTGCCATCAATGGTAGGCCGTTAAGAAAGAATTCACGCAAGGCCCAAACCCATAATAACAAGCCCAATGGTCGGTCCGTTTTGAGCTTAAGTTCGGTTCAATGCCAACGCCACATACATAGGAACGAGACAAAAACAAAACGTGTCTTCAAGTAGACCCCTCTCGTTAACACATGCAACGGCTGCATGGTGACGCCATTTACACGTGGCGTACACTTGATGATGACACATTTGACACGTGACTCTCTTCACCTCCCTCCTCTTCATATATCTAAACATTTTAACACTCATTTGCTATTCCAAAATATACACATCCTTTCTCTCATTCAGCCTCTGATTTTCTAGTCAACAAGAGCAAAAATGGCGGATACAGCTAGAACCCATCACGACATCATCGGCCGAGACCAGTACCCGATGGTGGGCCGAGACCGAGACCAGTACCGAGACCAGTACGGCCAGTACCAGATGTCAAACCGAGACTACTCCAAGTCTAGGCAGATTGCTAAAGCTGCCACCGCAGTCACGGCTGGTGGATCCCTCCTTGTCCTCTCCAGCCTTACTCTCGTTGGAACCGTCATAGCTTTGACGGTTGCTACTCCTCTGCTCGTCATCTTTAGCCCAATCCTCGTCCCTGCTCTCATCACCGTTGCACTTCTTATCACCGGCTTTCTCTCCTCTGGTGGCTTTGGCATCGCCGCTATAACAGTTTTCTCTTGGATCTACAAGTAAGCACACATTTATCATATATCTATTCCCTTAAGTAAGAATGTGTTTATGTGTTCAAGATACAAAAATATGACTCGTTGTGATTGGATTAATAGAAAATAGTAACAATGATGATATGAAGCCTTAAGAAGAAAAGAAAAAGGTCAAGCTATAAAATATAAGAACATCGAATAAAATCTTAAGTGTATCATTCAAGGCGTGGATGTATTGGGCAGCTAGTTTCAGATCAACCTTTTTTTGTATATTGTATTACATTAAATTGCCACTTTTTCTTGATCATTTGACTAGTTAAAATACAAAAGTTGACCGAGTTGGCTTGTTTTTTTTTTTTTTTTTTTTGGCTAAGAACCTAGCTAGCGTGTTATGTCTCCGTGTATGTTTATATTTGCAAATGCGTTGTATGATATGGATGCATGCATGCATGGGTGTGTGATGATTGATGAAAATATAGGTACGCAACGGGAGAGCACCCACAGGGGTCAGATAGGCTGGACAGTGCGAGGATGAAGCTGGGAAGCAAAGCTCAGGATCTTAAAGACAGAGCTCAGTACTACGGACAACATACAGGTGGTGAACATGACCGTGACCGCACCCGTGGCCAGCAGACGACTACTTAAAAGTAGTCCATGATCACAGTCCAATAATGCCGATGTCGGTAAGTCCAGTTTATGAGAAATAAGGTGTTTAGTAATTTGATCAGGGGGAAGCCGATATCACGAGTTTTTTTTTTTCTTTCTTTCTTTTTGTTATGAATAATAAGTGTGTGTTTCTCTTGTCAAAAGGTACCAATGTTTTTTATGTCTCTTTTATTGTAATTTGTAAACGTTGTGTTGTACTTTCTTTCCCTCGTATGTAAGTGGTAACGTTTATATAGACAAATGGTCTTGTTTTGTGAAACTTATGTTTGATCTTTTATTTCTTTTATTGTCAATTAACAATCATCTATTGGATGTGGATATGTTCATTATTGGTCATGACCAAAAGCACTTTGTTAGGGATTAGGGATCAGCATCTGAAATCAATTTTAGTTATATATTACATATTTCGATCAGTCATAGAATATGTAAAATTCTCATTTCCCTTCTCTAAGATGAAGAGAGGAAGAGCATAAACGCCTTTGTTTGTGGCGTTTTTTTGTATCTTTGAATATTTTTGTTGGAACAAGCTCTTAACATAGAACTCATGCAGTCATTACATACATATATATAGCAAGCGATTACATGGCAACCCAAACATCAAAAACAGTAGGTTTGCTCTATTGATCACTTGACGTGCCTCTGATTATCCAATTAGTGTTCCCCGCTTCATGGGATATAATACATTGGATTTGGGAGCTTGAAGGACCGTTCAGACATGGCAGAGCCCAACAAATCACTCCATTGGTCACCTGAATTGCCTCTGATCCTATACCCTTCTTTCACCATCTCATCCCTCTGCTCAGACTTGTATATAGTCGCTGTTTTGTTCTGACCATCCAACGATCTGTTGCATCAAAGCAGAAATGAGAACATCAACCATCCAAATCCAAGATTACAGTGGCAAGAAAAGTGATCCAAATAATGTCATTTTTTGTTACCACAACCGTGATAGAATTGGATAGAAACTTATGAGCTACATTGTAATGGATGATGATACTTTGGCTCAAGAAAGCTGAGAATTTGAGTGTGCGTACCTCAGAATAAGCTCGTCCCAGCTATGGAAACCGGCATTGAGCAGGTTTTCGACGGTGACAACTTTGTGCTTCTCTCTCCGCCCCGTAAGGAGGATGACTTTGTATCCCAAATCTTTAACCTTTTGGTAAAGTTTCAAGCTTGGTGCTATCGCAGGTGCAACACCTTTCTCCACCCACTTATCGAACTCCACATGATTAAAAACTTCCAGCCTGCAAAAATTCCCAAACACAACGATACAGGTAAATAGATAATTCAGTAAAACAACACATTCAAATTCAACAATTCACACTTTCTACATTATTTTGGGATTATATCAATGATCCTGTTTTGAATCCAATATCTCAGGATCTTAATAACTCCAATATAACACAGTTAAGGACAAAATCATCCAAAAAAAAACCATTTTTTTAGCGATGTTATTGTAAAGGAAGATTAAGATAAATTACCCGCAACCATGTTCCAGATAATACGGAAGATTCGACAAGAGAGTCTCATCAATGTCGAAAACCCAAGTATCCTTGCCGTCACCGGGAAATTCGAAGGTGCTCGCATAAACCCAAGCCTCTTCCGAGACTCTCTCCAAATCGGCGACGTAGCCTTTGCCCATCAGATAATCTTTCACGTAATCGGCGCATTCCGGCGGAATTGTTTTCCATGGCGCGAGATTGTTCGTCTCCGCCGCGAATCTCCAGCTCGTGCAATGCACATTGTCGTCGACGCTCTTGAGCTGTGTCTCGAAGATCAACGGCCGCGGAAGGATGTGCGAGCTGGAGTTTTCCTCGGAAAACGCGAGATGAATCAAGAACAAGAGAAGGAAACTCACAAGAATCCGCATCGTGTAATGCCAGAAACAGAACGAATCGAATCGAATCAAAAGGTGAAATTTTATCAATTTGGGTCTCTGAGGAATCTGCTAAGTTTTGAATTTCCGGCAACTCACGGATTCAATCGAACTCGTATGGTGTTTATTATAAGAGAAAAACGCTGAAACGAATCAGGACATGAGCGAAATCCGAAGAAAAATAGAGAAAATAAATATTTCCATTTTCCAACTAAGATAAAATGGAATGTAGAAGAAATCTGAGAAACAGTAAAGCTTTCCCTCGAGTCCTTTGTTTCAATGGAGAATCTGAGAAAGCTACTGTTTCGTTTTGGGCAACAAACGAAGAAGAGACGAAAGACAAAGATTCCTTCCTCGCTATGTAATGGCCATAAATAAATATAAATAAAAAATAGATAAATAAATGAGGCAATGGTTTCGGTTTCAGTCTAATTTCGGTTTAATACTTCCAAAAAACGACTATTGAAACATACCGTTACAGTAAGTTTTTCTCCGACAAAAGAAAATCGCTTTGAATGAAAGAAAGAACAGAAAGAATACACAGATATATAATGTGCAGAGGGTGTGAGAACATCTTGCCGTTTTATTTACTCAGAAAACGCTACAAAGTTTTGCTTTACTGTGTAGTCTAGAACCTAGACCTCCACTCCATGATGGCTGTGTAAAGAGTATAGTTAGGCAAAAGGTTCTTGTTATGCAACGGTAAATTCGTCATCGGCGACGTGTCGTGCTCCTCAAGCCACTCCTCTATCGCACGACGGTCATATGTGTATCCATCAGCAGCAACGCACGGCTCGTTCATCACGTCCTGCATTGTATATAGACAAGCTCTCACATTTTCATCACAACACACATTGAATTACTTCGTTTGAATGACATAAAGAACAAGTGTTACCTTAAGCAATGGGCAGAGGAAATGAGTAGGAGGCTGTGTTGGCACCCCGGAAACCGAATTCCTCGCCTTCTCAGCTACTTTCTTCAAGCTCTCGAGCGCAGGAAGAATCTGATCTTTCAAATCAGGCCTATCTTTCCCGCGTAGCTCTGTGCAACACAAAGCCAATGCGGTCAGTTCCCGGGTTTCTTCAACCGGCCAGTTACCTGCTTTCTGGTCCAAGATCTTCAGAAACTCATCGTTACTATCCATCGCCCTCTCAACGTAATGTGTCAATGCAATAGCTGGTTTTCCTGTGAGGAGCTGGAGAAGTATCATTCCAAACGAATAGACATCTGACTTCGATGATATCATCCCTGTGCGTTGATACTCAGGATCGATGTAGCATAACGTTCCCACGGGGCTTGTTTGCTTGTATATGGTGAATTTAGTTGATAAAGAATCGACTTGAACCATCGTTGATAGTCCAACGTCTCCAACTTTGCTGACAAAGTTGTGATCAAGTAAGATGTTTGCTGGTTTTAGATCACGGTGGATGATCGGTTTAGGCTTTGATTTGTGGAGGAAGACAAGAGCTGCTGCGACTTCCCAAGCTATCCTAACCCGTTCAAACCAGGGTAGTGGCGGACTGTTGTTGACCTGGAACAGTCTGTCCTCCAAGCTACCGTTTTCCATGTACTCATAAACTAAAGCTCCTTGCTCCGGGCACGCTCCTAGAAGGAGAACCAAGTGTGGGTGACGAATCTTGCTCAAGATTTCGAGCTGCAAAACAGAGAGATGATTGTAGCTTCGTAGAAAAGAGAAGACTTTACACAAGAATTTGAACTAAAAATCAGACAAGTTCCATTAGGAGATGAGCACAAAAACAGAACCTAAGTTCCTTAGACTGAGTGCTCACCTCTTGTTTGAATTGTTTGGACAGACCGTTTTCAGCGGAATGCAGAACTTTGACAGCTGCGGTTGTATGATGCAAATTACACTTGTAAACAGCTCCAAAAGATCCACTTCCAATCTTCAGTTCGTCTGAGAACGATGAAGTGGCAGCCACAATTTCTTCCCAAGTGAAGTGCTGATATTGCAGCTGAGGAGACCCGAGAGTGCCTTCGAGCTTCTCTTTCTCTTTAGCATCACGAGCGGCTTTCCTCTCAGCTTCTCTTCTCTGCGCAATTTCTCTCTCCGCTCTTTCTCTCATGCTCTCTGCATCTCTCCTCGCTTGTTCAAAGTTCTGCTTTTCCTTCTCTGCTAACTCTCGAGCTTCGTACTCCTTTAGCTTTAGCTCTTCAAGCTTTATAGCTTCTTCTAACCGACGTTGGTTAAGCTCACTAAGCTGAAACATTTTTCAAAATGCATTGAGCACAAACTAGTGATAGGTTACATCAAATACAAATATATATGAGACTATGCGGTCTTCACCTTTCGAGAAGCATCATAGGTTTCGGTTTGAGCCACAGCATACATTTCTTGAACGTGTCTAAGCTCAGCTCTCAACTTCTCAACCTCAAAGCTTAGGTTTACCTGAACAAATAATAAACCTTATATATTTCCAATTCACAAGACAATGTCTTAAGTAATATAATCGGAATTAAAACTCCATTTTGATACCTGGTTATCTGTATAAGATTGTTCACTTAGAGCATCAGACATGTTAGAAGCTTGTTGAGAAGCCCTCGAGTGATTAGTATCGATCACCATGCCAGTCCAACTAAACCTACTACCAACATTCCCATATTCACGGTTGCTAGAAGAAGAACTCATAGCGTCTTTTCTCTCATCATAATCTCTAACCCGTGGAGTCCAACGTAATGTTGTATCCGTGCTGCTTCTATTGATACTCGAAACATCTTTCGCTTCCTCTGCATCCAAAGACATGCACCTGGTTTCATCTGAGCCAACAGAACTCGTTTCCATTGGAACTGATGCTTGTCTTGTGATTGTCGGGAAATGATGCAATCTCCTGACCGGAAGGGATAGAGCACGTGACTGAGAGTCATAGGCACTTGAAATTCCATCTGTTGATTCTAGAAGAGAAACATGGTAGAAAAAATTTAGACCTACACACCAGTTTTGGTCGCATATTCACACAAATACATTGATGAGTCATGGACCTGAGGTGGGACCGGAAGAACCGCTGGAGGAATCAGTTCTGTCACTACCATCATCTCTTATAGTAGCGTTTCCGTCTGAGTTTGATGGTTGGACGCATGACAATTTTCCTTTCGAAACAACATACACTGTACAAAAGTTCGGCATCAAAGCTGATATCGCCGAGCACATATCAGCTCTCCTGGAATTCTCAAAACAGATTCATTGGTACAAGAAACCAAAGAAAATAACAGGTTCACAGCTAGCAGCTCGGTGGTGCGTACCTTGAGAAAAAACTACGGGATGAGCCTCCAATGACAAGTCTCTCTATTGAGTTCCGAGTAACTTCTTCAGCTATCGCCGCTGCCACATTATCTGATTCGAGCACAAGAACTTCTACTGCGACCTTTCATTAAGGTAATTCAAGAAAGTGTCAGGTTTTGATCTTAGAAAAGAAAAAGAAAAGCATATAAGGTATACAAAAGACAGTACCTTTCTCCGCTCGAACATCTTCTTGAGAGGTTTAAGCACTTCTTCAGACTGCCACAGTATTTCCTGTCTGTATGCAGTTACTACATCATCTCGTACCTCGGAAATAGGGATTGCATTTCCCACTTGAGAAAGAGCAAAAAATTGACATCAGAATTTTGTCAGTTATAATAAAGTCTCAGTTTTTTTACACAATAAGTCTTGAGTGCAAGAAAGTGAGTTAAAGCTTTACTTGGTGTAGGTACAGAAGTAATCCTTGGATGAATGTGAAGTAGCTTGAAGCCAACATTTCCTTCAGGAGCAAATTTCTCGAGCGCCCATGTAACAACATTTTTGTTTTTTCTGCTCCCACTAAGAGCCACGACGACGGTATGAGATGAAGGAAGAGGAAGAGGAGGAGGAGGAGGAGGAGGAGGAGGAAGAGCAATATTTTCTGGTGATCTGCTCATTGTCTATCTTTGTACTTCTTGTTGCTTCTATCCTGCACACTCCAATCATTTCAGACACTCCGAAACAGAAAGAGTATATTGTTCCCATAGTAGAGACAGAACATGAACAAATGCCAAGATCTTGAATTCAAAGGAGGTATACCGATCATGTCCCAGAGAGTTAAGTTTATGAGTAAGGATTGTAAAGAAGCACCAAACGACCATAGAAGCTAAACTAACAGCTTCTTGTAGAAAAATAGCTCAACTTTTTAAGAAAAAAAAATGTCAACTCTTAGCACAATGCAGTTGCAGAGACTTCGTAAAACAACGAAATAGATTTAAAGCAGTAACCATATCTAAAGGGTGAAACAAGAAACCCAGAAATTGAACCAACCTGGTAATTAAAGGATGCGGCTTTAGTCAAACCCAAGACAGAAAATGGGGAGAAGAGGAAAGTTATGCTGCATAATTTGGCTTTGGGTAACTCGAAATTCGGGAAGCTTCCATTTGAAAGAGCAATTAATGGCAGAAAGAAAGGAGAAAAAGAGCAACCGAAGAAGAAGAAGAAGACCCACGTTCGTGCTGCTAATCTCGGATACAAATAATGGCTTCTTATAATCACAGAATCTTATGGAGATTTGAAAACAAATATTGAAAAGAATAAGAAAATGAGACAACTTGGTCATGTTTATCGTCAAAGGATCACTCCTGGTATATACTCTTTTGTTGTCGCCAGAATTTTCTTCATTATCAATTTTATCAGTGTGACAGAGGGAGTGTGTGTTAAAAGAAAGATTTTTTCTCCAATCCTTAAGAAGTTAAGAGCCTTCGTTGTTTATTCTAATCATGTTTATCTCTTAATTCCATTTTATTTGATATTAATTACATTCCTCAACGCCATTATTAAAAACTTCATAAAATTTCATATTTGTTTGCCCTTAGTTGCACGCATGACCTATACCTTCCTCACGTCTTTTTGTCTCCCCTCTATGCACATGACTAAATTGTCGTAGTATTTAGTAAATAAACTTGTGTTAGACTTTTTGTTCAACCTATCAAATTTCCTAAAACACAAAAGATCTTTAAATTCAAAAAGGCCTATCGCCTCTAATTCCATGTACAAAGTAACAGCCCACATCTATGTGCTTTGTGCTACTTATCATATGTAAAAGCATCGGTTGCGGATAAGAGATGTGTAACGACCGCTCCTGATATATGGACATTAGACCGTTAGTATCATTAAGATCTTGGAATTATCGAATCACATAATTACAATATGGTTCTTCGATGAAGAGCTTAAATGATTCCAAGTGTTGAAACAGGCTGCCAAAAGACAATAAAGAACATATATAATGATGTTGGGGTCAAAATCATATTTACAAGTAATGACAAATAAATTTAACGAACAATGTGCTAAGTCTTATAGATAGATATATAGTTTAGAAATGTATATAATTTAAGTTATTAATCTTAGAACAAATTTGTGACAGTTGCACACAAAAAAGGAATAAATTTGTGACTTGGCCAGATATTTTTTTTTTTTGCTAAATGACTTGGCCAAATTTGCCAATAGATACCTATTAATCAAATAATGCTATCATTTAAAATCTCTATATAACTCGACTTTGAAAACCTAGTATAACTTAGTGCACGTTTGCTAGTAAACTAAACCCTTCGTAAGTTCTAAGAGATTATAGAAGAAGCCCCATCCCAGGAAACATAGATTTAGTTAAGGGAACTTATATACATTATGCATCCTCTCCATTATACAAGAGATGGTTTTAGTTGTCGACCTTTCCTAATAACAAAAATAATAGTCCACGTTTCGTGACTATTTTTGTTGACATTTTTTTTTTAAACTATAAAGTGACATGGATAGTGCTGGGTTCATGGCATGGCAGGCTGTTTTCACTTTTAACCGAGTCTTTGGGTCTTGTAAATAATTCATTTTTGTTCCTTCTAATACCAACAGAATGAGGTGGTAATTTGCGCTTCCATTACACAATATCTTACACACATAGTCAGATTAGAATAGAGCATACAGATTCAGTAATAGAAAATAACAAAATAATGGTTACTAAATTTTAAAAAGTTTCAACATAAGGCTTTTGATCTTCTTTTCGAGAGAAAATCGTACAAAAAGTTGTTTTTGAATTGAAATATCGATTCTAGCGAAAATGTTTACTAATTGTACCCAAGACTATCTTTGTAAAGTTGTTTAGCACGATGAGTTTTTTATTTTTATTTTACAATGGTCTTTACATCTTTCTATAGAAGTTTAGAAATGATTGCTTCAACGAATGTATATCCAACCATTCAAACTTTTTTTTTTTTTGATAGATGGATATTTAGAAGCGATATATGTTTGCTGCTTGCAAGTGTCTCCCGTTGAGAAGTTTTGTTGCGAATGATGACAAGAAGTTGCCAAATGTATATATTTGGTAGATACGAGTAAGACTAGTGCGAAAGAAAATGACAACACCTCATGCAAAATTGCAAACTGCAAACATTCGTCATCGAAAATTAAACGTAAGCAAGGTAAACCGGAAATTGGGTGGAGGAGGCCCACACGCCATCGCTCTTTTTCTTCCTTTCGTTAACATTTTACCCACTTTCTTAAGCAATTCTCTATTTTTTTTTAATTATGTATTTAAAAGAAGTAAAAACCCCAAATCATACGATCATTTATGGTAAAGATTTTTGGGAAAACAAAAAAAAATCCTCGAAAGGAAGCCAATAGACTAAAAACTCGAATCACACTTCTAATAAGTAATGAATTGGTACCCTAACTTTTTCCTTTTCTTCATATAGCATATTATCAAATCCGAGCCATAGTTTTAACCAAAAACAAAATAAAATCCGAGCCAAAACTCGAGCAAAAAGAATAGGAATCGAGACCACGTAAAGAAGATTCAGGACCACATTCATAAGATGTTTTCCAGTTGGTGAGAATGTTATTTACAGATGGAACAAGTCAAAGGTTAGAAACAACAATTTTAAAATTAGCTTTACATTTTATTGTCATGTTTGCATAAAAATGAATGCATGCCGCATGCGTGCATGTAGACTTAAGTGGCACCATGTTGGTATACTCATGGGACTACAAAAAGTTTCTTTAAATTAAACTAAACATAGCGGTATAAATTTCGTCTAATTAAATTAATTTAGGTATCAAACATCAGTTACCTTATCAATCAAACGAAAGTAGTATCATCTCCTTGATGTTATTATATTGGTGGAAAAACGCTCGAATTTAACCTCGTCTTGTTTCCACGCCAAAAACTTCATGACTTCATCCCATGTAGACATGAATATCCAATTAGGACATACTAAAATACATTATTTCTTACTATTATTATTGTAACTTCGATAGTACTCCATTTCCGTACGAAATGTCTAATGAATCTCAAATTGGTTTTGAAGTTTTCATGCTATTGAGTCTAATATTTGAATATCTATTTTTTTATACATAAATATTCAAATTGTCAAGCTAGTAATTTTCGTTTTGGAAACGCCGTATAGTATTAAAAATTTGTGAGATACATTCCATTATAAAAAAACTATATATTTTTGTTTTCCCGGCTATATAGTATTATTTTATTGTGTTTAATGCATAAGAAAACAGAGTAAATGGATAAGCGTGTCGTGGAGAAGAAGGACCAAGCAAAGAAAGAAAGTCATAAAGTATAAAATCTTAGAAAACAGACTATATTCTGAAAATCCTTAAAGACTCCTGCATTTTTAATCTTATCCATCTCCTCGAAACCATCACACTGTTGGAAGAAACCTAAGAAATAGCAAAATCCAACAGACCCATTACTCCTATTATTGATCAGACTCGGTTAGACCAAAAGACAAAACTGATCACCGAGTGAAAACGTACGAAACCTGGTCGGAAGTAAACGAATTTATATTGTCTTAATATGTTTGGTGGAGGAAGAGGACCCATGGGCGGCGGCGGAGGGATGTTACGCGCCGCCGGCCGAGCGATGACGAGGACAGGCGTAGCCAACGGCGGAATTCAAGATCCCTTTGCTTCATCACCGTCGTCTTCGTCGTCTTCTACGGCTGGAAACGCCTCTGTCTCGCATGCCCAGAAACTGGGATCTTCTTCTGGGTCGAGCAATCTGATGATTTCGGCAGCGTCAGGGTCGCCGTTGAATCTACCGGTGGCTGCAACCTCCGGATGGAACGGAGGAGCTTTTTCGTTTATAAATTCCGGTGCTTATGAAGACTTTGAGTGGGTTTCGGAGGAAGGAACCGAAGAAGATGACTCTGTTTTTGGCTCTGTTCCCTCTGTTGATGAAGTCCAAGATGCTGTTTCTGCTCTCCAGCAGTAATCATTTTTTTCTTCTTTTCTTCTTTTTTTTTTCTCCATACACTTGAAAACTATGCGTGTGTGATTGTTTGAGCTTTGAAACTTCTATTAATGTGCAGAATTGACAATTGTCTTAGCTTGACAGATTTGTCTCAAAGTTAACTTTTTTATTTTGTTTCTGAGTGTGATGGAATTGTCTTGATTTGATGAACTAATGAAGAGGATGGAAACTCAATCAGTTTGGTGTTCCTTTTGTTTCCTTCTGGATTTAGTGTCCCCGTGTCAGTTTAGCCCCACACAGTTGTTAGTTGCTTTGTACTTAACCTTAAGTTAATAGTTGTTTTTGCTAGTTCAACTTCCTTGATGTTCATTGGTTCTTATGAATCTCGAATAAACTGTTTTTGTTTTTTTTCTTTAGACGGGAATTTGAGTAATTGATGATTCTGATTTCTTGAAGGGTCTTCGATGGTAGCTCGTATCCTCAGCTGGTTAGAGACAGATATGAGAGCTATCCGGAAAATGGTGGTGGAAAGCAGAGCCCCATAGCCACAGGAATGGTTCATCAAGTTCCTTCATTTGGGTCAGATTTGGACTGGATGGAGCCTTCAATGCAACTTTGCCAATCAAGAGTCTTACAGCCTCATGCTTATGATCAGGTTTACAATGCTTTTGACCTACTCCGAACCGAACCATCCGTCCAGGTAATCCTTTTCTTTTATTTCGTTGTCTGGATTCACTAAGCTCAAAGCTTCTGTCTTGTTTTCTTAAGTACTTCTTAAATCTTAAAGAAAATGGTAGAGAAAAACTTTTAGTTTTATGTTGAACTATGTCGAATATTCAGTGTTATTTGACTCGGAAAATTTTGAGGGAAGTAGTGGATGCTCAAGTTAAATAGCTAACAAATGTAACATAGGTCTAGATCAACAAGAAACCATTATCTTTATGTGTCTATCTTCGAAAAGAAAAGAAATCATGGCTGGTCATGTAGTTTATCACAAAAGGTACATAAATCAAAGCTTTTAACATTTTGTGCAGAGAATGGTAATATCATTGTCATCTGACAAATCAGTGTGGGAGGCTGTGATGAACAACGAGGTAGTGCGAGAGATTAAGGAGCTGTACAACAATGGCATAAGTAAAGGTATAGGGATAATGAATCGATCAATCTAAGCCTTTCATTTGAGAAGAATTCTCATGGAACTCATGGGCTTTGTGTCGGTTTTTCTATATTCCTAATAACAGATGAGGAGAGTTCAGATGACACTCCCGGAGAGAATAACGCAGCAATGGGTTTCATAAAATGGATATTTGATAACACAATGGTTAAGGCCACGGAAGTGTTTGCCAAGATAACAAAGGTCGTGGTCGAGCTCTTCAATACTCACAATGACGATGGTGTTAACAGGAAGGGGAAAGATGCCAAATTCAACAATTGGCTTGAGGAAAAGCTGATGACTTCGGTCTTGCTCTCCATCGTGGTCCTGCTGGTCGTGATGGTGTCCCGAGCCTGCAACAAGTCTTGATCGGTTTCAAATTTGTCGACAATACAATTGGTCCTCGTCTCTTAGACACTTCTTGTTTAGCTTTCTTGCAAGTCATATTGTGGTCTGTTTTGGTAATCTTTGGTTTTGTACTCAATTGTTGACATGGTAGACCATTTACTCAGTCGCGTTTCTATCATAAAGAACTCTGAAAACGTTCAAAACGTTAAGAGTTTTCTTTTAGCCCCCAATAGACTGGATCTTTTACAGACACAAAGAAGAGTTAAAAGATTGGTTTGTAGTTAGAGAATCTAAAGAGACAATACTACTTTCTTCACATAGATGTATGAACAGGATCGGCTATGTCTCGAACAACCTTCACTTGTGTGTTTCCATGTCTGAAGCAGGCTTCAAGAGAGACTCAACATCGGGAGTAACAGTCACAAGTTTCGCTGAAGAACCAATGCGACAGTAGTTCCTCCCTTTGTTGTCGATCGCTGCCACATCACTGTGAAATTTCGCATTCGGCCCTGGCGAGACCTGCATATATATATAGGACTGAGAGTTAACGAGATGAGAAGAGCTACAAGCAGAGTCCACTCCAAGCACAGATTTGGATATGTGTGTTCACATATAAAGACATGATGAAAGAAAGCATGATACTCTTCCAAGGTATAACTTGATGAAACAAAATGACTTACATCGAAGAGAACATCTCCAAGTTTCAACTTGACAGCGCCGCTCTTGTAAACTAGCATTTTGCCCATGAAACCCTCTGGTAAACCTTCAAAAGGGTTGTTTCTCTTTGAACTATTCTCCGATACAGATCTCTTGGTGTTTGCTCCTGTCACTTGCTTCGTTACAGGGAGGCAGTCCGGAATCTTAAAGAAAAACATCTGTTTTTTGCAGTGCTGATACTGCAGGCAGCTCAGAAGATACAATCAGTCAAACTCGGTGAAAAGTTCACATATCTATGGATACCACTATGTTTTACAAGTTTATTACCGATGTCAGACCAAGTTCTTCAGCTGAGTTGATGGTGCTCTCGTCATAATCAAGGTGTTTAGCCACGTCCCCAAATTCCTCCTGGTCACGGAGTTCTAACAACGCAAGAAGTGGGTTTCAGTTGATAGAAATATGCTAAAAATGCAGTTATTTAAAGAGCAAACAAACACATGAGATTCACATAACCATATGGGTGGCGTAAAGCGATAGCAAAGCAGTGAGCATACCTGGATCACCAGAGAATGGCTTTCTCAAAGGAAGAACAGTAGGATAGTAGGAGTTTTTATAATCCTGGCACATGAAATGAGCCAAACCTTATGTCACATAAATCACCAAAAGAGAAACTGGGAGGGGAAATAAAGTTGTATAAGATTCTATTTACCCAAGGTTCAACGTAGTCTTTCTCAGCTCTTGTAACCAACTTATGAACCTCTTCTCCATCTTTCTGGGTAGTAGCAGAAGAAACAGCAGGAAGAACACCAGCAGAAACAACAGCGGGAAGAATAGTAGCAGAAGAAGAGGGATTTACATCAGAAACGTGCTTGTCGTCTTCTTTAGGATCCCCAAACGACCTTATTGAAAGTGACGACAAGTTTGGTTGGAATGCAACTGCAGATGAAGAAGCTGCAAGATTTCAAAAAAAAACTTGTCAAGAACGATCGCTGCTATAATACTATATACATACCATCACCTTCCTCACATATGGCTCTCAGCTAAAACCCATGTACAGAAATGAGATCAAGCATAACTCAAAAATTCATATAGAATAAATGAAGAATGCAACTACATAAATATATATAACTTGGATATTAACCTTTTGTTTCGGGTTTGGGTCTCCTCTGGCCAATCTGCAACAACAAGAACACAAGAAAGTTTGGTTTCAACTTCAAGCATTTGGATAATAATAACTAGGCCGTTCTAGGCTACCATCAACATCATCGTGGACCAAACTCATTTCATGGTGGAAAGTTCTAAAGCCAGCCTTATACCATTTGGTCCATATCCTCATATGTTTGTCATATCAAGATGAAGAAAGCACACCGTTTTGGTATCATATATAAACAAATCTAATTTATGAGATGGTAATGTTTTAAAATCAGGGAACTTACGGTTGGATTAACAAATAAATAAACCAAAATTAACAGATACTAATTGTTTAGCACAGGGAAATAAAAAGGAAAGAAAATAGAAAAGCGGAGAATGAAAAGATTCTACTACATACGCCGAGACGTTTAGCTATCTGTCGTGCTGCTTTTTTATTCTCTTCCTCAGTCTCAGCTTCACTGTGTTCAGAGAGAAGAGGATTTAAAATATTTAGCTAGTTATTCATACATATAATATAGATTTGTATACATGCATAAACAATCAAGGATCTCGACAGGAAAAATAGGAAGATTTACTTTTTGGAGTCTGGTGCGATCGGCCGGAGAGAAGGCGTCGGAGGTCTTGGTTGGAATCTCCGCTGCCGAGAAGGAGAAGGGAGAGAAGGTCAGTCAAACGCAATTTCGCGGCGGAATTTTCAAGTGAGATTTTGAGATGAAATTAGACGGAGAAGATGGGATCAGTAAAAAAAAGATTTACCTTGGACTTTCGTGGAACCTGGGAGCCCGAATCCATGGCTGTCTCCGGCAAGAGAATCGGAAAACGGGGAAAAAAAAAAATTTAGGGGTTGTGGAAAAGAGAGAATCGAACTCGAGTCCTCAGCAATTGTGGAAAGTCAGAAATCCAGGCGACCTAGGAGCGCTTTTAATAACAACGTCGTCAAGGTTTTAATTTATATCTTCTTGTTGGGTCCTAAAAATTTATACAGCTTATATAATTAGAGTGACTAATCAGATGTGAAGAAGCTGATAATTGCGCTTTTTCCTGTCATTGGACTTTGGGAACAACGTCTCTCAATTTCTGTCATCTTTCCTATAAGATTTTACTTTATTTTTAGTCTCACTCTTCTCTATTTATACGCTTACTTGTTTTGAACTTTGAAGCTTGAAGAATGATTTGTGAATGGATGTTTCATCCGGATTTGAGTATCACTTGAACTATTAATAGTAATATGAGATTATTACTCACTAAGACCTCTCTTTAAGAGAATATGTAGGGGAGCCTAGGTACTTTTTGACCTGAGTTTGACCTGAAACCTAGATGTCCTTCTTCTTTTTCTCCATTTCCCAACAAAAATCCTCTAGATCTTTTGATCAAGGAGAAAGCTTCGTGAACTTTATCTCGTGGACAAGATTTCAGTCTTCATTGTCGGTACAGAAGTTATTTAAGGGCAAGGAAATGACCGAATTCAATTGGTATTTATACACAACCATATCGACCTTAATTATAAGTACCGGTGTAACATACTTCTATATGTTGTTAACCCAATTGTGGATTCAGTTTGTGTTGAATTGTTATTGCCAATACTGATAGCAATGATGAATGTTGTCTTTTTTGTTAACGGTTGTTTTGTTCATGGATCATATATATTATGTAAAGTGTTAACAATTCATTAACAGAATTTTGGTCTTGACATTCGGGGAGATAAAATACGTGCATGAACAATATAACCTAAATTACTTTTCGCGGACAACCTGAAGAAGATTATTAGTATTGGTGGACAAGTTAGTGTATGTATGAAACAAAAATGTCTATGATTTTTTCTTTGTGGACAAATGATGAGTACTAACTTTTACCTACAATGTGAGTTGCGAGAATAAAATAAAAACGGAAGTAGTTTCTAGTAAATAGTGTAAGAAAATACTCCCAAATACCACTTTCAAAAAGTGAAACTTTTGCAACAAAAATTTGTGTATCTCTATTGAAATATCTCTTCACATTATAGTCACCAGTTTGTATAATGTATAATGTACTCCCAACTTTTAGTTACACTTCCCAACTTCTGAGTTACTAGAGAAAAGCTATTACAATCAATGTTGCAAAGATTTTATGTGTTCCTCAGTCTTCTGGAGAAAATGGACCCTTAAGCTACTCTCTTTCGCCTGAAAAACGAAGTTTCGCCACTTTAGCCTTTGGAGCTTCCAAATTCGAATTGAAAATAAACAAGAACATCAAACCACGCTTTGGACCAATCATGACTACTATTCCAATCAGAACACTCAAGTAATCGATTAAACCGGACCGGTCAAACAAAATGAAAGGGGTAGATGATTTACCGCAAAGACAGGAATAAGGAAAAGGCTCTTCTCCAATTCTTCAAAATATAATAATTCTTGTTTGAACATGCTGAGCAATTCTGTTAGCTCATATAGGATTATTTCAACCTGCTGATATTTAATCACCCAAACATGCTTAAAATTAATCTCTTATTCATATATAAAAACAAAAGAAATAAAAAGAAAAGATCTATAAAAATAAAGTGGAATTACTCGTGGGAGAAACTTGATGATGATGTCTTCAATCTCATCCATGACTTCTATTGCTGTGACCATTTCTTCATGTACGGACACCAAATCTATCTGTAACTTCCAAATTATCATTTCCCGTTTACATTTCAAGAGAACGTAATAGTTTTCTTATAAATAACTGTTTTCCCAAAGAAAAAACAAAAAATGAATGATCTAACCGTTGCACCATGTAGGAGGGGTAAACGGAGAGACAAAGCATGTAGTTTTCGAGTTAGCTTGCTCAACGCTTCGTAGTTTTTGGCGTCCAGTTTAGACCACTCATTGAGTAAAGGCATTTGGAGACTGAGAACTTGACGTAGTTTAATTTCTTGACGGAGCCTTTGAACTTCAACTACATTTTCCACTACGTAGTTCCTCATTTTGTATATCCTAAGCCAAACCCAAAACAATTGATCCTGTGACCATTAAAAGAAAACAACTTAATGAACATTAATCACATATATATTTAAATTTGACTATAATCATTATTTATATGGTTGTCATAACATTTTACCTCAACATTGATCTTAAGTTTAGCCATAGTGGCTTCAGTTCTTGCGTTAACAAACCTCAGTTGAAGTAATCTGTTGTGAATAATCCTAAACCGGTGATAGTCCTCCTCATGAACCGGAGATACTTTCTTCTGAGCCTTGAAGTACTTCAAAACTCCAGCCACTGCTCCACCGCCACCGCTTCTCATCTTGGCCGCGCTTACCGGCGACTCAGGTGGTGTCCGGCACATTGAACTCGCCGGAGCTGAGCTGGACAAAGAAGTTTTCATTGCTGAAACTCTTCCCGGTGACAATGCCCACGCGGATGGTGAGGTAGCTCCCGGTTTTACCCCTTTCGACGAAGCGTTATTACGAGGACTGCCACGCTCACGTTGCTCCAAGTAACGAGCAAACGCCTCTCTGCTTCTCCCGTTGTTGATCTCGTGAGATCTTGACGCGCTGTTTCTCGCCGGGATCATCTCGCCGGGTTTCGGGTTGGATCCGGCGGGTCTAGAAGATCTTGTTGTGGATTGTGATCTGCTTATCATCACTCTTTGGCTTGGATTGGAAGGGGAAGAGGAAGAAGAGGACGAAGAAGAAGAGAATGAGGCGTTTAATGAAACCGGGAGGGAGATCGATGAAGTTATGCTCCGGCTCCGGTCAATATTCGGCGACGGAGGCCGAAGCCTACGACTTGTGGTGGTGGTTGCCATTTTTGTGTGTTTGTTCTTTGAAATTTGACAATAATTGATCATGCAAGAATTATATTAAACCGGCCGCGCCGGACTATATATATACATAATACATTGGATTGTTCAAGTTGATAATGTCTAAAAATATAGTTAGGGTTTAATGGTTTAGATATATTTAATCTGTATTGTAACGCTTGGAGGTTCGTAGGAGTTGACAGCACGTAGAGGCAGGTAAGAACACTTCTGCATGTAAGTGTGGCTACATAATTTTATATATTTTATAAATTCGAGTGTTTTTCGTAATCGCATACACACCGTATTGTGTATAATGTCAAAGGATGCGAAGGTCGTCAGCTTAGCTAGAGACACGTCTTCCGTTGATCTTTCTAGCTCTATATGTTTCGGCGTTTCGCAGTTAAATTAAACACACGGAGGGTTTTGAAAATGTTATCAAGTTTTTTTTTTTGTTTATTATAAATCTGATTGTATCTTTATAAAATTATTTGAGGAGTACCTTTGAAAACATAATCTCAAATGAACTCCGTTGATATGTGCTCCGTTGACAATGGATTCGGCCAGTTATAACAGCTTCGGAAGTAGACGTGTTTTCTCTTATCTTATCTAGTGAAGAAATTTTGCAGTGATTTGAGTATTTAATTATGCCATTTATGTTATCGTCTTTATAGATTATCGAAAATACTCATATATATATGTATATATATATATCGTCTTTATATATATATATATATATATATCTAGAAACTAAATATACACATTCAACTTTAAATGAAACACAGTATTTAGTAACAATACAGTATTTCACTTTCACAACTTCTAATTTCAAGTAATTAGATTTCACAAATGCATTTAGTAAGTAAGTACGAAAATATTTATAGTAATCCAACTTACATTTAACCCACTATTAAAATTATCCCGCACATGATACGGGTTAAATCCGATTATCCTAGTTATAATTTATGAGATATCACATGATGCTGTGGACTAGTCAACGGTTCTCCTATGTACTTGATTTTTACTCTTTTTTTTCTCTGGTCACAAATGTTTGCACTTTGCAGCTTGGTTCTCGTCATAAAAGCCCATATGTCAGTATACAAGGAAGCCCAAATGTTAGGCCTTAATAACAAATTCAGAGGATTACAAAATTGACCAATAGTAAGTTATTATATTACCTTTTATGAAATTTACAAAATTGATGATACCGCGTTGACAACGTGACATGTTTTTCTTGGAGTGTTAAAGCACAATTCATTATTCTTACAAAATACTCCGGAGAATTCAAGTGTCAATAAAAAACTTACATTAATCAAAACAATTAAGGCTTGATTTATCTATTAAAATTCGTGAAAATAGAGAACCCATTTGCGGAATTGATGTTACCGAGTAAAAATTAAGTTGTAGTCAACCATTTTGGGCGTCAAACCAGACCTCATCGTCATTAATCTTTTCAGTTTTAACAAAAAAAAAAAACGACGATTACTAATTTACTATAAATATGAATTTCAAGTAGGTGATACCATATGGCGGTAGACGATAAGCAAAACTAAGAAATTAAATGATTCGTTTTCCCATTCCTATAGAGATATACGTTTTATAACATAAACCCATAGATATGAAAACTAAACTCGCGCGCTAAGCAACGAAAGAGAATATTTTAAGTGAGAACATGGTTTAGAGTTGACGTAGCAGAAAATTTTCAAAACTTAATTTAGACTTCAGCTCAAAATTTCAGACCAAAAGAAAAAAGAACGAAAAAAAGAAAAGAAAGAGACAACGACACATGTCGCGTGTCCATGATACAATGCATAATGGTGTCACGTTTGATTTGGTCCATTCATTAATGCAACGGCAAGGAGCGTTCTCTTAAAATTAAAGCTGTAGACCAATTCGAGCGGTTTCAATTAACTCTACCACATTTTCAAAACATTTGAAATATTCGAAACGTAACGTACCAAATACGTATGTAAACATTTGCTAAAACGCTCTATAACGCAAAACACTGAAATATGAAAATTTTAACTGAAATACTAACGCGAGCGAGTACAATACAATATGAGTTTTCGATCTAATCAGTTACCAAGAACTTACCGAAACTTCTAGCAGAAAAAATCAAACTACGGTAGCAAAAAAGAAAGAAAGTAAATGCTAAAATAAATGAAAGCAATATACCAAAAAAAAAAAAGTCAATGAGAAACTAACTTGACGCTAAAACTGACTGAACCGGGTCCTACATTTCTGTTCTAATTTTAAGACCCTACTGTTTTTTTCAAAAACTTGGTACAGCTTGCGTGGACTGAACCAGCTGGTTTAAACCGGTAGTATCGTCATCACTCGGATCTTTCTTCCGCCGCATCTCCATGACTTTGCGGTGGTGGTTCGAGTGAAGCTCACTCGAGAATGTCGGGCTACAAGCCGGTCTATATTCTGGTAGTAACCTACCCGACTTAAACCGGACACCGCACGCATTGCACAGCGTCTTGGCTCCCTTGGGACCTGCTCTCCACTGAGGTGTTTTCTGAACGCCACAGTGACTGCACCGTCGAGGAGGCGGCTGCTGCTGCAGCTCCGGCAACCGCCCGTTGAAAACAGACTCTGCCGACTTTTTCTTGTGCTTCTTGGGAACCAAGACTGGCTCAAGTAGCTCAACGCCGGTGAACCAAGGGCTTGAAGGACCTGAGGAGGAGGAGGTCGAGCTCGACGACGAAGGACCCGAAGAGGAGGAGCCAAGCGACTTGACCTTGACTCCATTTCGGTTGCGTTTGTTACGGGTTTTAGCCGGAAGAGGGGATTTGAAACACGACTCTTCTGTTGCCGGAGTCACAGGGTGTTTCCGGTCACCGGTTAACCAAGCCGGTTTCTCTGACGGGGTTTCGGTGAGATTTGGAGCCGAGGAATCTTCTACGAAATGGGATAGCCACTCAAGATCCGCTAATTCATCCGCCTAAAACCAAAAATTCAAAAAAAAAAAAATCAGAGACAAATTAGGGAAAAAAAAAAAGAAAAAAAAAATATATATATCTCTAAATTGGTTTAAGGAAATTGAATTACCGGAAGGGAGAGTTGGTTTGAAGGAAGAGACCCAAAATCGTCTCCGCTGGAAAAGTCGTTGCTCCGGCGAAGTGCATCTCCGTCGTCGTTGGGTTCCTCGGAGGAAACACAGAGCATATCTGGTTGAGTCTTGGGTTCATCATCTTCTTCGGCTAAAACGTCGTCGTCGTCGTCGTTTGACAAGTCGAGCAAGTCGTCGATGGAGAAATCGTCGGCGGAGGAGTCATTTTGAACGGTGGTGACGGTGAGAAAGTCTTCGTAAACCGGAGGAGTCGTTTTCAAAGCCATCTCTTTTCTGATAATGCTCTTCAAACCCGCTTCAATACGTTCCATTTCCAATTTAAAAATTTCAACAACAAGGAGGGAAAAACGAAACCCTAAGATCGAAAATCCAACAAAGGAAGCAAATTCAAGAAAAGGGAAAAGAACCCTAGAAGTAAAAAAAAAATCCTTTTTTAAAATTTCCCGAAAACTGGACAGAAATTAGGGAAAAAAAATAACGAAGACAGAGAGGAGAACCAGAGAGACGGAGGAAGGAGTGGTGGTGAGAAAAAGAAATAAACGTCGGATAATAGAGGAGATGAAGAAGAATATTCAACAACAAAGATAAAAAAACATAAATATATTTACTCCGTTTTAATTTACTTTTTAGATTAGACGGTTTTCCTAGTTTGCCCTTGACCGCGTTGATCGCCGTTCATCTTGCGAATTATCCTTCCCGCTTTAGAGGTTTTGATTTTGCACTTTTTAGTTCACGTTTTTCAGATTAAAAGTTAAATGTCGCTAATTAAAATATTTTTAATTGAAAGTAAATAATGGATAAAAGCGAGGAGTGAACTGAAATGGTGCAGAAACCGAAGACAAATGGCGGGCCAGCTTTTTTGTCTTTTTAACACACCACGAGAAAATGATTCTCTCTCTTTCTCTCCCTTATTCTTTCAAACTAAACCATCATCAGATAAAAACATTATTCTTCGTCTTAGGGAAAAAAATCTATTGAGAAAAAAACAAAGAAACAAAAATATCTGTGTAGAATTTTTTTTATCTTTTTTTCTCTGTACTAGTTACCTTACCCAACAAATTGGTGTAGATTCACTTCTAATCTTCGTAGTTCCTAGCTAGTAGTAGTTATCGCTATGTAATGGAGATAAATCTTTTTAGTTTCATATGTTAGCATTATCTAAGTTGGACAAGATATTAATTATCACCGTTTAATTGTTTTTGTTTAGTTGAATCATACATTTGGCATTTCACACGTATTATTTGTCTAGATTTAGAATGTAGAATCTGCATGTTGTATATAAAACTGTTGAATTTGCAGAGTGGTGAAACGAGCAATGGTTTTTTTCTTCTTTGATTTTATGTTTGGCAATACTTTTTTTTTCTATTTAGTGACAAGGGCATTGTTAAAGGAATATGATTTTTCAGTTCTAAGGATTACAAGTCATATATACTTAGTAAGTAATATAGTAAATAAATGCAATCCTGGGAAAAATTGAGGTGCAAAAAGAAATAAATTTGATGTTCAAGTGTCTGAGTTCGAGAAGCAGTAGTCACGTGTTATACTGACGTGTCGTACTCTGTTTGGTTATATCTCATGTGTTTGACGTGAGCGGACCAATCAGAATACCGCGACAGCTAATCTATCATTTGACCCAATTTTGTGCTAATATGGGCCAAAATTTATGGGCCGTTATTGGACATGAGAATTTATATCTGTTTCGCACTTTCGCTTAGCTTGTGCGCCACGGATCTCTAGAACCATCCGGAAATATGTTTCTTTTTTGTTTCCTGCAAAAAAAAACCATCTGGAAATATCAAATATGTTAATCTCTCCAGAACATTCTCGGACCTGAAACTATCCACTTTCACCACTTTCCTCTTATATATAAGTTCCTCTGTCTCCATTTTCGCCGCACACTTACTCAGACAAAAGATTAGACTCTCTGTGAACTTTCTCAAAAAGCTCTTACTGTTTTTTTGTACACACATGGCTTCATCTCTAGCTCTTAGGAGACTTCTCTCTTCCACCGTCGTTCCTGGTTCCCGTAGCGTTCTTCGTCCACAAGCTGCCTCTCGTCTCCTCAACACCAACGCCGTCAGGAGCTACGACGACGGCGAAAATGGGCACGGTGTTGATGTAGACCGACGATCTGATCGCTCTGTTTCTCGCCGCCGTGATGATTTCTTCTCAGGTAACTCAATTCACCACCAAAACTGTTTCATTCTTGCTTCCAAGATCTACATATCAAATCGGTGCTATGCTAACATGGTTATTGTTATTCTTGTGTAGACGTTTTCGATCCGTTTTCGCCGACAAGGAGTGTTAGCCAGGTGCTGAATTTGATGGACCAGTTCATGGAGAATCCTCTGTTATCAGCGACGCGAGGCATGGGAGCTTCTGGAGCTCGGCGTGGCTGGGATATCAAGGAGAAAGACGATGCTCTCTACTTGAGGATCGACATGCCTGGGCTGAGTAGAGAGGACGTGAAGCTAGCTTTGGAGCAGGACACTTTGGTTATAAGAGGAGAAGGGAAAGATGAGGACGATGGTGGCGAGGAAGGGGAGAGTGGTACTCGGAGATTCTCAAGCCGGATTGGTTTGCCGGAGAAGATATACAAGACCGATGAGATTAAGGCGGAGATGAAGAACGGAGTTTTGAAAGTGGTGATTCCGAAGATGAAAGAGGAAGAGAGAAATGATGTTCGCCAGATCGAGGTCAACTGAAACGGCGTCGTTTTCCTCTCTGTTTTGGTGTTGTTTGTTTTGTTGATAGCACTAGAATAAGAAGTTTGTGGGTCGTTGGTTTTTTTCTTTTCCTTTTATCTTTTTTGACAACAAGTGTGTGGGTCGATGATGAGCCATGTACCCTTAAGCTGAAGGAGTTCTCTTTATATTTCTTGAATCTCTGGTTGTCTGACTTCAATGATTAGCCCAAATTTGTAGATTTTGACATTTGTAGATCTCAAATAATACAAGAAAAGAAGAATAACACCCAACTTTGTGTTGCAAATATATTTCAGAATTTTGAGAGAGAGAGAGAGAGAGACGCATGGAGAGCAACACAGTAGAGAGGAGGGCCATGGTATCTTAATTTGTAAGAATAAATCTGAAGATATCACGTCAAAAATTACCGCTCAAATGGTAATTAAAATTTACGATTTGATGTAAGAAAATGCTAAGCTAGGTTTACTTCTATTTGATCAAATAAAACGAAATTCTGATACGGGTCTTGAATATAGACCAAGGTGAATGATTGTTCCATCGGACCACTAAGAATTCGTTTAACTCGGATGTTGTCAGGACCGAAACTGCATCTCAGTAGTTCGGGGTTGGTCATATGGGCCTAAGTGAAGTCAGGTCCAACAAATGTTAGCTTTTGTATTAATGCTTTTTCACTGTTTGTTTTTCTAGTTTATGCGCAAAAGGGAAAGCATTTTCATCAACATTTATCCACTTGTGTTAAAAAAAAAAAAAATAGAAGAAGAAACAAAATCCTTCAGAGAAAACCTAAAGACACTTAACCTAAAAGCAACCCAATCGACGGCGACGGGAAAAAGGAGAGAATTGCTGAAGAAGAATAAGAGCAAGAAGAAGAAGAAGAACCTCATCAGATCTTTGTTACCTCTCTCTCCCACTTCTGTTTAATGGCACCAAAGCAGGCGGAAAAGATCGAGAAACCTCCGGTTGCCTCTTCAAGTGAAGAGGAAGAAGAAGAGTCTGGTTCATCTGGAGAAGAATCCGAATCTTCAGATGACGAAGGAGATGTCCAGTCCAAAATCTCTCAAACAACTCCTGCTACTATCACTGCCAAGGATTTTGAATCCGACTCTGAAGAAGGCGAATCTGAATCTGATTCCGATTCCGAGCCCACGACGACGAAGACTAAGCCTCTCAACACCGTCGTGACCAAACCAAAACCAGAGACCTCTGGATCTGCTGCCGTGACTCTCCCTGAGAGCTCCACGGCTAAGCGTTCTCTGAAACAAGCAGATGATGAGCCTATTAAGAAGTTGAAGACTTCGACGACTGAGCATGCGAAGAAGAAACCGGCGACTGATGATGAGGTTAAGAAGATTTCTGGAGAAGAAGCTAAGAAGATGTTTCAGAGGTTGTTCAGCGAGACTGATGAAATCGCCATGCTTCAGGGCTTTCTTGACTTCACATCTACAAGAGGAGATCCTTACGAGAACATGGATGCCTTTTGCGATTATGTGAAAACATTGATTGATTTCAATGCTAGCAAAGCTCAGATTGTTACCAAACTCCAGAGGTGTAAGAGAAGGTTTGTCAATATAGTGAGACTCGCTTAAAAAGGGAAAGACGGAGATAGGTGTGATGCTCCAGGATCTTGATCAAAAAGCCTTTGAATTGTCGAGGAAGATTTGGGGAACTAATGGTGTTTTTCCTGCCAAGCCGAGGAAGAAGTCGAAAGAGACTAAGTTGCTTCCCTCAGCATCGCCCACGCACACGAGAAAAGAAGAGAAACCAATGGCAAATGCTTTGAACACCCATCTCTCCTCTAGTGGAGAGATTGCATCGTTCTTCAAGGCAGAGAATGTGAGTGTTTTTGGTTTGGATGAATCGACCGTAAGTGGTAATTGGGATTTGGTTCCAGATGGACCAAAGAAGAGAGAAATGGAGGAAAAGCTGAAGAAGCTCAAGGATACGCAGGTGGAGCTGTGTTTGCAGAGAACTGAACTCGTGGACACAACTGCGAAAATGATATACAAAGACTATGCATCCTCTTCATGTTGAGCTTTATTCGTGGTTTGTCATTTTCACTCTTTTAGTATGCATTTTTAAACTTTTTATTGTGCATTTTAGCCTGTGGAACTAATCTTATCGTAAGTCTTAGTCAGTATTTTCTTTTGGCCACTATGTTGGATGCTTGGTTTGGATATAAGACCCTTTTGTGGAATCAATATTTATTCATCTTGTTGTATGCTTTCGTTTTAATAGTTTATGTTCTGAGTCAGATCTCACGAGAGTAAAACCAACGTAACATCTCAGATTTTTAGGCGAAATCAAAACCCATCGTAGTCTAAGAGAAGAACTCTTATGACCTCAATTAAACTCTAAACACAATGTTATTTGGATGCCACTATTCTTAACCTGTATTCCTTTTGTTACGTAAATAAAGCCATGTAAATGGATAGAAGAAAGTCTTTGCTTTGCTTGTTTTGGAAATCATCAATTTTGTCTGTGACTATGTAGAATATCATCCCTTGGTTTTATTTCCGTTTCTTTTTGTGAAAGACTTTCTCGATTCAGCTCATTCGACATCTTTTTGTGCATTAAGTAGGTAAGTTTAACTCCCTTTGTTCGGTACAATACGAAGGTTCAGCTCTATTAATTGCAATAAGAATCAGTACCATCTTTGCATGTATCAACATGATCAACAGGAACAAGAGGTTAACCTTTTTAGCACCCTTTGCAAATAAAATCCATTTATGTTACAGTTGTGAATCGATTTGTCAATCAATGTGTGTAGTAGTAACCTGTAAACTTATGTAAATAAGTTATTGGCTGCGAATTTATCAGATGTTTTCCTTCTCTCAGCCAAACTAGTTAAAAGGCAAAAACTCATCATTACATAGTTTTGCATTTTGTATAACGATTAGAGATACCAATAACGAGTTAATTGTGTAGATTCATGTAAATCTCTAGCTTGGATGACAATATTAGCTTCTTAACATTTACAGCAAGAATTCCACCTTCTGAAGTTTCTGAATGTCTTGTTCAAATGTGAGGGAAGCATTCAGACGCTTAAGTCGTCTAAACAAAACCGAGCCAAATTTGCAAAACAGCCTGAAGAAAATATACACTATCGAGAAGTAATCCTAATTAAACGATCGAAGATAACTGAATTGACAATGATGGAAGTTCGTTGACCACTATTCGCTTTGTTAATGAATAATCTGTTTTTAATTACTATTCGTAGATATCTTCTGTCATTTTCCTATGAGCTAGAAGAAAAATGAATTTGGACACTATAAGAAGTAACATTCCAAAGAATGTTGTTCCCTTACTATTTAATGAATAATGTGTTTTTAGTTAAACTATTCGCAGATATCTTCTGTCCTTTCCCCCATTTTCCTATGAACAAGAGAAAAATGAATTTGGACACTAAAAGGAAGCAACATTCCAAAGAATGTTAACACCATTTATTGGCATTAGTTCTGTAGATAAATTAAACAACTTATTGAGTTGAATTTTCGGTGAACAAATGGACTATTAAATTTTCTTACGTGCGGGCACAAACGACAGACCGGACGCCGACTCGCTACTTCAAATTAACTATTAAGATATTTCCACATGCGTGTTGAACTGATATCGTCTTCTCTAGTTTGATTTATTTCTAGTTTTTATTTTTGGACTACTTCGTTCCAGTTAGTTCCGATTTAGCCGTATGTGCTATAATTTACTTTGCGTACATAAGGTGAAATTTAATGTTAGAATATTGGGAGGCCAGTGAAGCAAAAGGCTTGGTCAAAAATATATAAAAATATACAGCAAAGGGGCAAAATAAAGTTATTCAAAAAGGACTAGCTAGTTTCGCCTTCTTTAAGTAGTGATTTTCCCTCTCACAGCTTCTCCAACCATTGAAGTGGCAGAGAACGGAGAGTGAGAGAGAAATTTTTATCCTCACATTTTCAAAGGTGAATCCATATTCTTATACCATTCTATATGAAGAACCGTTCTGCTTGATTGTAAGATATTGAGGGTTTCGTACTCTACAAGTAATAGATAGATATACAATGAAGAGTATAAACTCATATCTTGCTCTGTTTTCAGGTTTTGAATAGTCGCTAAAGAGATGGCGTCGTGGACTTCATCCCAATTCCTGTATGAAGAAACAAAGCCATGTGGTATACAGTTCTTGGAACGGTTCAAGCGTTCAGGAAGACTCTCCTTCAAGCAATACCAAGCACTTGTCTTCATCTTGACCTTTGTTGCCTATATAGCGTTCCACGCTGCTCGGAAGCCCAATAGCATCGTCAAAGGAACGCTCTCCGCGTCAAATGCCAAAGGCGGTTGGGCTCCCTTTGATGGACGTGATGGACCAGCATTGCTCGGACAGATTGACTTGGCTTTCCTCTCTGTCTACGCGGTTGGGATGTTTGTGGCTGGTCATTTGGGAGATCGTTTGGATCTCAGGACGTTTCTGACTATAGGTATGATCGGGACAGGCCTTTTCACAGCTCTCTTTGGAGTTGCCTTCTGGGCGGATTTCCACAGCTTCTACTACTTCTTGGCGGTTCAGGTTTTGGCCGGATGGTTTCAGTCCATAGGTTGGCCTTGTGTTGTGGCCGTGCTTGGGAATTGGTTTGACAAGAAGAGAAGAGGAATGATTATGGGTGTTTGGAGTGCTCACACTTCTCTAGGTAACATCGCAGGGTCTCTGCTCGCTTCAGGTCTGCTAAGATTTGGGTGGGGATGGTCATTTCTTGGCCCGGCTTTGCTCATAACGTTTCTTGGGATCGTTGTTTACTTTTTCTTGCCGGTGAACCCTCCGACCGTTGGTGCTGAGAGAGATGGAACCGAAGTTGACTCAACGATGAGGCTTGGTGACACCATTACAGAGAGCTTCTTGAGCTCAAGAATGAGCACAGGATTCGATAGAAAAGCAGTAGGGTTCTTGGCTGCTTGGAAAATCCCCGGTGTTGCTCCTTTCGCCTTTTGTCTCTTCTTCACCAAGTTGGTCTCATACACTTTCCTCTACTGGCTTCCTTTCTACGTTAGCCACAACAGTATGTTTCTCATCATAAACAACACATTTCAGTTTGGTTTTTATAGGACTTACATTCATATATGCATTTGTCTGATGCAGTGATCGGAGGAGAGTATCTCTCTGAGGAAACATCAGGAAACTTGTCGACAGTGTTCGATATTGGAGGCGTGGTCGGAGGAATCTTAGCTGGATATATCTCTGATCAACTTAACGGTAGAGCCATTACAGCTGCAGGGTTCATTTACCTAGCGATCCCAGCTCTTTTCCTCTACAGAGTCTACGGACATATCTCAATGACCATCAATGTGATCCTCATGTTCATGTCTGGAATACTCGTCATTGGACCGTTTGCTCTCATCACAACAGCTGTTTCAGCTGATCTCGGCACACACAAGTCGCTTAAAGGCAATGCCAGGGCTTTGGCTACAGTCACAGCTATTATTGACGGTACAGGATCTGTTGGTGCTGCGATTGGACCGGTTCTTACCGGTTACATCTCGGAGATTAGCTGGGACGCGGTTTTTTACATGTTGATGACTGCAGCTTTCGTCTCTGGTTTGTTGCTCACTAAGCTTATCATTGTAGAAGTAAAGGCTATGTTGTATGGATCATCTGAGGAAGATGAAGTGGGTGCTTCATCATCTTCACCAGCACATAAAGCTCCCATTGATGTCCTCCTATGAGTTTTTTGCATTTTGTCCTTTCCATTCATTGTTTTTCTCTTTCTTTGACAACTTCACAAGAGATTTCACTTTTTTTTGTTGTTATATTTTTACTTAACCTTTCTTTCTTTCTCCAACTGTTTTTTAAGATGATCAATATCTTCATTTCTAAGGGTTTGAATGAGAATAAAATCTTCAAAACAAATAAAGAAGAAGACCTGACGAACAAAATGGTTCAGAATCAATGGCTACACGATTAAACCGATCAAATTGCAATCTGAGAAAAAGAATTTTCATTTGATTCTATTTGATTGTTGACTTTCTCTGAATTTACAATCCCACAACAAAGTACCAAAATTATCAGGAGAAAAAAAAAAGATTGATTTTGAAGGAGAAGGAAGTGGAATCTGTCAAACGTCGTCGTCTCTACTTTTGGGTTTTCGATATTTCTCCTCAAGTTGCTTCGCCATCGAGACGGCGCAGCGGCCAAGCTGCTTGATGTTGGGAACGTTGTAGTTCTGGGCGATGTAGATTCCGCACACTGTTCCCGTGAGGAAAGAGAAGCTGCTCCGTATTATTCCCATCTTCTTCTTCTTCTTCTTCTCCGCGAGAGAGTGAGTGGGTTCCGGCGTGAAGCCTAGATCGGCAAATTTAGGGCTATTTGAACTAGCGAGATTGATCGGAGATTCGCGGAAAATTAGAAGCGATACTCGCGAATATCTTGAGAATTCTAGAACAAGTCGAAAAATCGGTCGAAGATCCTTTTGTGGGCCTGTAGGGGTCATGGCCCAAATATAGCTTAAACTTTCATGGGCTCGCGCTGGTTTATATGTTGAATTTAGTCTTTTTAGTTCTTTCCAAAAATGAAAATTTTTGTGAGATTGTTATGCTCAATCCGGACAAACCGATCGGATATGAAAATGTATAACCATAATAAATTAAACAAATGGACACACTTATGTATGGAAAAAAAAAAAAATCCAACTCCGAATTCGAATGAAACCAAACACAAACAAATTGATCTAAAACCAGTCTTGAAAGTTATGATATATTTGAGTAATATCCGAATCTGAACAGAACTCTAAACCATATAAACCTTCTACAATATATTAGATTGAGGAAACCTTTAATTAATGACTTAAAAGATTTGGTTGAGTCATATTGGAATTTGTTGGTATGTCAAATCAGGTTATAATTACTTTTTTTCTAAATAATATCTCTTAACATGCATTAAACATAGTTACTTTCTTAGTGTTAAAAAACAAAAAACAATATAAGTACAGATTTTGGTTCCACCGCGACAAAATCTGGATTTGTTAAATAAGATTGATGTTGTTATATATGCATTAAACATGGTCAATTTTCGTAAACATAAACATACATGTGTTGAAAAAATTAACCTCTTCATAAAAAAAACACATTTCTTATTTTTCCTTATTATATTTTTTTTAATAATACTTTCTTCCTGGAGGAAGATATCGATTTTTGCTCTTCTACTTTTTCCTTGTCTCGATCGAGAGGAAGACAGAGAAGCCGTTTCTAAAGAGATTTTCCAACCGACAGCTTCGCGGATTCAGGTTTTTCTTGCGATTCGATCGATTTTGTAGAAACTCTGATCTCTTGCTTGTTTATCTGCATTTCCTCCGTTGAATCTTCCCAGCTCCTTTCTGTCTAATTGTTCTACGATTTTGAATATTTTTTATTTATGTTTCAACCTGTTAAATCTGGGATCATATCTTTTTGGGCGTGATGACTTCTCCAGACCCGAATTCATCCCTCTATTAAGCATTTTTGGCTTCTATACGCATTGACTTTCACCTGGGGAATTATGAGGAATGTATACTCCATCTGAAAGAATTTTAGTTTCTGTATTTCTTTTGTTGTTTTTTTGCTGCTGTGAAGCTCAATTGTCAGTTGATTCCAAAAATTCTGTCTTTCTGATGCAAATGGTCAATCTTGTCTGACTAGAAAACAAAAATTGTTGATTTTGTTCGAAAAATCATATCTTTTACTTTAATTTTCCTATGTGATCGGATACCTAGTTGATTTGTGATTACGGTGTTCATTTTTTTGTCACTTGGCTTCTGGGTTTTTGTTGTCTCGTCCAAGTCTTAGATACTGATGATAGATCATGTTGCTGCAGATGGCATCGTGCTAATATATGACTAAATGAGACTGTGGGGATTAAGTTTAAGTGAGAAGGCTGTTATATTTCCTAATGGGGATAAGGTACTTGCCGGTATCGGTAGCAGCAACAGCTTTGAGCTTTGTGGGCCTGCAAGTCTGGACAGAGTTGTCTCTTGATAGACTTAGAGCAGATGGGCTAATAGCCAAGAACGTTTCTTTAGGAGACTCCGAGCATGCGCTTGAGCTGCTTCTTGGTTCTTACTTTACAATCGCGCTGCTGACAAGTTTTGTGCTCAATGTGTATATTCTTCTGGTACTTTCTCTCAAGGTAAGAGTAACAGTTTTACCACTGGGAGTCAGTATAAGCAACGGTTTTTCTATTATTTAGATTTCGTATACTCTATGTCATTGTAGTCTCTCTCCAAATCGATGAGAGTTGACTTTCAAACTTTCTTGCTACTTGCTGCTTTGCGAACTATTCTAATGCTCTCAAAATATCGACCGACCCATCACCACTGATTTCTCTTCTGTTGGAAAGAGTCCAATTTATAGTTATTAGTTTGCTTACAAGTGAAAATATTATCATTAGTATACACGTGGGAATAAACTGCATAGGAAGCAAGTTTTCCTAATTTGTAAGCGTTAAACTCTGCTAATTGAATGTCTTGCATGAAAGAAACTCAAGAAATTACGACTTCATGCTGTTCGTTACCATAGTAATGTGCAGAGGCTTACTGATTGTTTAATTATTTCGGGAAATGTCTTGTGACCATTTTCTGTGGTTCTAACGTCTTTTAAGCGTCTATTGCAGACTCTATTTTTTGGAGATTTATATGCCGTTGAAACAAAAAAGTTAGTGGAGCGACTTGCCAATTACATCATTTACAAGGTAGCTCTTCTTATCTCGAATGAAAACTAGACTGACACATACAATAACCTACATTCTGTGTTTTGTATGAGAATCTTGGTAGTTTTCATTACTTAATTTCTTAACAGCTGCAGGAAGAATAAATTAAATAGATTTATAATTTCAGAGTAAAGAAAAGAAAGATAATTGGTTTTGAGGCTTATGAGAGGTCCTTACTTTAGACATATGATTCTGCCACTTTTTCCTCTCATCAACTCGTGCACTTTGCATCTTTGTTTAGTCCTTCCGTAATTTGAGTTATTTGCATATATCTGTATGTATTCTGGATGTTGATAGATTAAACCCCCTTTTAATCTAGGGCACATTTCTGCCGCTGGTGATTCCCCCAACAATATTTCAGGGTGTACTGTGGACAGTTTGGCTGACTGTTCTATGCACTTTAAAGGTATGGTTTACTGCTTGCAGTTTGGCGTTCTTGTTTTACGATGAACAAAATTCGGATTATCTTTCTAGACACCCTCCTAATGTGAATCTTGTAATGTCATGTAGATGTTTCAAGCTTTGGCTAGAGACCGGCTAGAACGATTGAATGCATCACCTACTTCTACACCTTGGACATACTTTCGTGTGTATTCAGTGCTGTTCTTGGTTCTCTCTGTTGATATGTTGTGGTATTTCCTAAAACTTGTGGTATAGTGTCAACTGTCAAATATTCAATTGCTGCATTTTCTATCTGCTTACGAACTTAAACTAGAAAAAGTCATGTTTCCATTCGAATTTCTCTCTGGACTCCATACATACTTCTTAAACTTGAGTAATGTGTATTATCAAGGGGGTAAAACAAATCAACCTACATGGCAACGCTCTTGAGTACTGATATAATTGTGCCTGGATGATATTTTGAGTAAAAGGATTTAACTTTTTTCCTCCTATTTTCCAGGATCAAGCTTTCCCTTATGACTTACAACACAATTGGTTCCTCTGTGTATCTGTTGTTACTTTTTGAGCCATGCAGTATAGCTTTTGAGACCTTGCAGGTACTTAAGCAATAGCAGTTGTCTTCTTCGTCCTACTTGTTGTCTTTCTTTTGTAGCCATTTGAAAAAAAAAAAAATATGGAGCTGATCGAATTATCTTGCAGGCGCTATTAATTCATGGGTTTCAGCTGCTTGATATGTGGATCAACCACTTAGCAGTCAAGAACTCAGACTGCCAAAGATCCAAGTTTCTCGATTCCATGACAGCAGGTCTTTTCTTTTCTGGTGTTATGCCATGTTTTTTTCAGTTAGAACCCGGAAATGCATTTCAATTAGTATTTTTGGTCTATTCGAACTCCACATCTCAAGGTAAACTCGTACACTTTGGATAGGCTCACTGTTGGAATGGAAGGGCCTCCTTAACCGTAACCTAGGTTTCTTCCTGGACATGGCTACTTTGGTAATGGCCCTGGGTCATTATTTGCACATCTGGTGGCTGCATGGCATTGCCTTTCATCTGGTGGATGCAGTTTTGTTTCTCAACATACGTGTAAGTTTGTTAACTGACTTCCTGTAAGATGGTGTTCCAGAGCATTCAATTGTTGTATCTTTTACCTGGTTTTCCATTTGGTTTGGCAGGCATTGCTCAGTGCAATTTTGAAACGAATAAAAGGATACATTAAACTTAGAATAGCTCTGGGCGCTCTCCATGCAGCCCTTCCTGATGCAACTTCTGAAGAGTTACGGGCATATGATGATGAATGTGCTATATGCCGGGTATGCTTCTGCTAAAGAGTTATTTTCATATACCTTTTCAATACCTCAAACTCTTGGGTACATTATGTATGGCAGGAACCTATGGCTAAGGCTAAAAGGCTTCACTGCAACCACCTTTTCCATCTTGGATGCCTGCGATCCTGGTGCGCTTAGCAAGATACCGACAGCCTTAAGTATATATGACTGAAACTGCTGATCCTGATGATGCTTTGGTTCTGGCAGGTTGGATCAAGGTCTAAATGAGGTTTATTCGTGTCCTACATGTCGTAAGCCTCTTTTTGTTGGTAGAACTGAAAGTGAGGTGAACCCTCGCACAGTGGAAGTCTCAAGTGATGAGCAGTTAGCCCGTCAGCTTGAAAGGCAAAACAATCCTGGACATCCACTAGCCACTGGTTTATTTCCTGCCGAGATGCCAAATTCCGATGAAAGTGATCCTTCGAGGTTCAGTTCATTCTTCTTTCAGATTTACATATTAACTACATCATAGTTACAACTTGCTTATTACTTAACGATCCTCTTCCTGTGACTCTTTAATCTTGGTGCTGATATACTAAACTCCCGTTGTCGCCTTAATTTATAACAATATTCAAAGTTGGATAGCAAGTTATATTTGGTTTGTGGCGATCACTAATTTTCTTGGATTTTTGTAAAAGAGATGCATTTCAAACTCGATTGTACAAGTTCTCACCTTTTTCCTCACATAGTAGGAATTTAGGATTGGATCCAAGCTGGCTGCAGACATGGTCAGGTCAGGGTGTTGATGTCGCTGGTCCCTCTACCGCTTCTAGGTCCGTTGGACTGGGGCGGGTTCAGATGATGATGAGGCATCTTGCATCTGTTGGGGAAAGTTATGCTCAAACTGCCCTGGACGATGCTGCTTGGAGTCTATGGCCAATGAACCCTTCACAAGCATCCACGTCTTCTACAACCATACCTCCTGGTGCTGGGGGAAGGACAGGTG